TTCGAAACTGTTTTGTTCATTTTTCTTAATGTTGCTATCTACATTCTTATCGCTTCTCATTTGTCTTCTTTGATCCAAGAGCGTTTCAGTATATGGACTTATTTTACTATCTGATTTTCTTTTAGGACAGTGCACTCGGTGACTTTCTTGTAAGGCGTTTATGATGCAGTTATTCAAGTCGTTAATATCGTTAGCGGAGGTTTCCTGCAATAGAAGCTTATTATTGATATGTGTCTGATATTGGTTGATATCTAATGGGGGTGTCCAGATACCATGAAATTTATTTTTAATCATTATATTCCTTTCTCTTTTTATATTGATTTGAACTTTCGCTCGTATCATCCTGTGGTCGCTGTTTGTGGTGAACTTGTTGAGTACTGTTACATCTTTAATTATTTGTTTTTGATCACTTATGATGTAGTCGATTTCGTTCCTTGTTCTACCGTTTGGACTTTCCCAAGTCCATCTTCTGTGCATCTTTTTGTGAAAGAAGCTGTTCATGTTGAATAAGTTGTTCTGGAGTAGGAATCCTAGTAGCTTTTCTCCTCGATCATTTCTTCCTGGGGAACCGAATTGTCCTAAAGATGTTTCTGGATCTGCTTCTTTTACCCCTATTTTTGCGTTGAAATCGCCACATAAAATTGTGAATTGAGTACGAGAATCATCAAGCGCAGTGGATACATTGTCATAAAACATTTCAATTTCTTCGTCTGTATGGTCTGTTGTTGGAGCGTATACTTGGATAATTTTGAGTTGATACCTACTGTTCAGCTTCAGAATAAGATATGCCACTCTAGATGATATACTTTTGATGTTTATTATCTTGTTCGCGTGATTTTTATGGACAAAGAAACCGATTTTTTCAGGACCAATCTGACAGAATATATGCCCTGATTTGAGTGTTTTCAAAGTTTCACCTCTCATTCTAACTTCGCTAATACCTATGGCATCCCATTTTATTTTATTCATTTCAGTTTCCATTTCAGTGAATCTTTCCTCGGACAGTAGACTTCTGCCATTGTATGTACTAACGTAGAGAGTTATGGGTTTTTTGGGTTTCCGTATAGTCAGTTTTTTGTCCCCCCCCCCCCCAGAATCCTTGGGACAGACTGATAAATCAGTGTGAGATTCTGGACGCATCCTACTCACCTGGGGTAGATCTGTATTTGTTTTAAAAACTGACATCGCGTTTTTAAGGGGTATATTGGCATTAAAACACCACGCTTGCCAGACGGGTTGGTGAGTGTTCGCAGTATCACAGCCTGTTAAATCTACTTGATTGCCGCCTGCGACTCTGTGGTTTCGCACCTGTCAGGTGCGAAAGGTGTTTTATGTAAGTACAAAAAGAGAAATCATACGATTTCGACCTGGCGAAATCGAATTCAAATATAAGCCACCGTGCTTCCTAAAACTTGCGAAGCAAACAGCTTGATGAATAAATCGGCAAGGGAATCTAAAATTGCACTCCAAATGCCGTTCATCATGGCCAATATTCGTAGTGAAGTCGATTTCGGGTACTCCAAACGAAGTAAAGAAATAAAAGACAATGACGGTATTGGATTTTGATTCGATACAGAGCAGCTACAAGCCGCATATACGTACTTAGACCTCTTTAGGTCTCCTCATTACGGTATAGCAACTACTCCGTATCGAACCAAAATATTTTCCCGTCGTAGACGTAACTAGACGTAACTACGCCATCTAGGAATAAAAAGAGAAATCATACGATTTCTACCTGGCGAAATCGAATTCAAATCGTATGATTTCTCTTTTTGTTCTTAGATGACGTAGTTACGTCTGTACATAGTTATTTTTAATAAATTTCCGATTCCTTTGGTTGGCTGTAATAGTATCAATCCGATTTCGAGGCTGTACATTGTTTCTTTGAGCGGTATTTGTTTTTACCATTGGTAGGTTGCTAACCTTGCCAATCACCCTCCACATTTTATCCGGACCGGCTGTTGTAACCGCAGAGCTACCCAATCCACCCCGCAATCACCCAGGAAATATTGTTATATATTTTAGGTTAGATAATGAGTATTTGTAAGTTTTTGTATGAGTTATTGAAAACCAAAAAAGTCCTGCTTGTTTGTTTTTTCCATGTCTCTCTGCTTTTTAAACAACAACAACGAAGGACCAAAAATTCTGAAGACCCAAATCATAAATGTAATTAATTAATTCAAAACAAATTAGAGTCCAGGTTTAGATGGAATATACTCGCATTTATGGTACGCGAAAAAGTCTGGCTAGAATCATTATTCATCTCACTACCGAAAGAGTCAAAACCAGAATACTGCAACGAGTTCCGTCTAATAAGCAGTATTAATCATGCAGTAAAACTCGTATTAAAAGTCATACATAACAGCATAAATAAAAAGTGAGAAACAATCATCGGAGGTAATCAGTTTGGATTCTTAGCCGGCATGGGAATGAGAAAAGCCCATTTCAGTTTACTAGTTATGTCCCAAAAATGCTACCACCAACATTAAGGTGTATTCATATGCTGTATAGATTAAAAAAAACATTTCTTTTTCTGTACTGGAATGCCATTTTTTTACTATTTTTCATTTTTTTTACTAATTTTCTGAAAGAATCGATCTTTCCTGTAAAATTAATTTTATTTTCATTTTTAACAGTTTCAAATAGTCTTTTCATGCTCTCTCTAGCACTACAACCCATGAAACTGTGGTAAAAAGCATGCTTTTATTTTAATTGAATGAAAATTATATCATATATTATTATTATAATGATTATATCATACTATAGGTACATTATTATTATATCATATTATATGTATTTATAGGTATAATATATAATATACACGATATTGAAGGAGATGACAATCAACAAAATCTACATCGTCAACTACACAGTGAAGACCCAACAATAATAGAAGTGTCAAATGCCGTCCTAAAACTCAAAGACAATAAAGCCAGAGGAATCGATTAAATCTGTTGGGAAATGTATAAAAAAGGTAGTGATTAACTTTTTGCAGTAATCCATAAACTAATAGTACTTCTATGGCAGAATGAATTGGTACCAGAACAGTTGCTAAATGAAATAATATGCGTTTCATAAAAAGAGTGATCTATACATCAAATTCAAGCACATGGGCAGATTCAAGAAAAGTCCCTAGAATATTACATAGATACACACTATCTCTTCGTCGACTTCAAAGCAGTCTATGACACTGTTAAAATAACTGCATTATATAATGCAATAAAAGACTTTGGTTGGGATCCCACCGAAGTTACTTAAGTTGACCCAACTAACTATACAAAACGTAAGCTCGTGCGTTAGAATTGAAGGAGAAAACTTTACGTGCTTTGACGTTAATGATGGTCTAAGAAAGGGGCAGACGCTGTCGTGTCTTCTCTTTAATGTTGCCTTGGAAAAGGCAACCAGAAAATTAAATATTAGAATGAATGTAACTATTTTTAATAGAACCATGAGAGACAGGTGTAGTGTTTTACAAGGCTTGCGGACGCGGCAAGTGAGTTAGGACTTGTGGTATACGTATGATATATTTAATAGCCATCTTCATGTATTTGGAAACTATTCGAATTGCACAAATTAATTTTGTCATAGAAAATCATCAGAAACAGATTATACAATACCAATGAAAAACACAGCCTCTTGAAAGATATTAGCTCATGTGCAGCAAGAGTAAAATTTCATGCAAATGGTCTTATAAATAATATGAGTACCAATTATACCAAAAATAGATTTTTGGAAGAAAATTATTTTTTCACGAATTTTTTAAACAACCTAACTATTTATTTATTAATTAATATGTAAACAAATGACATATTTGTAATGTACGTAGAAATTACATACAAATTAAAAAAAAGAATGATCAAAATCCATTGAGTAGATCCGGAGATATAGAAAATTTTATTAGTTTGAAATTGTTCGGTATTTGAACTCCAAGAATTTGTAGGTTCTTCCTAGTCACCATTTGAACTACATTTTTAAAAATTCGGAGAAGGTCCTGTGAAGGTACAATGTTTGTGCAAATGTTTTAACAAAAAATACAAATCCCATTCTTTAACATGGCACCAATGAGGTTCCTTTATTATTATAATCGAATTAGCTGTGAATTAACAAAAAAACATGCCTAACTTTGGCCCAAATTAACTTAGGACAATTTTTTTTATTGGAACAACATTCAAAGCAACAAATTGACTTTTCAATTTACAAAATTCGGCATTTTGAAGCTTTGTAAATATTCCAAAAAATTATGTTATGCTTTATGTTACACTTTATGTTAAAAATAAAAACAGATTCGGAAAGTGGGTCAAATTCTGTAATGCCCTATTTAAAAAAAATAATTACGTTTATTTTAACCAAAAATATTTGAAACAAAAATATTGTTTAAACAATTTATTAATTTACAATCAAATAGTGCACTAGAACTTTTTAAGACCTTTCATATAAAAAAGAGTCATCTCAATATCTGCCATAGTTTTTGCGTTATTTGATATAAACTTTTACATTGGAATTTAGATAAGCTCAGAGTCGCGAGGAACGGCCTTAACAATTATGTTTTTGCTTTTCTCAATTCCATATTACATTCAGTAAGATTTTGTCAATACTCGCCCCACTCGTCTGATTTTCTGGCGAAATAAAATTTTCTTCTGAAAAGCATATAACTGACCGTCCCTGTCAATATATATTTATAATTGATAAGACGTTTTTTTTTATTTGTGGAGAAATACCAGAAGGTTACCCGCAAGAAAGACAACAAATACTTTACATTTTCTTAAATTCCTATTAATATCAGAAAGAAAAAGCAAAAATATATTTAAAAATATGACAGTAAAAAAAATTAACGTTAATATAACGTTATATAAATAAATTTCTGTCTATCATAGTGGTGTTGTGGAATGTGTTTGGTTAAATTTAACCCATGACGACAGTTATCAGTTTGATTACACTAATATGCACGAAGTATTGGTAAATCATAGATTATAAAAGGAGAAAAAACATCTTAACAACCCAGTTTAGAAAGAAGTTTTGAAAACCATTATTGTTTGGTGGCAATGGTAAGTAGTACTAAATATTATTAATAAATTATTGTATTTAATAAAAATTTACGATATTAGCAGTAAAAATCTCCTGCGAAAATATTTGCCAAAAATCTATTTTTCTAACTAGACCGAGAGGTTTGTACTGCTGTTTTTATTGCCGTTACATCAAATTATAAGCTTTTCACTGAAATACTGAAGTTTTCAAGCTCCCTATAGCGTACTTTATGGTTTAATTTGGCTGATGCAATACAGTTGAATATGTTGCATCATATTTTTTAAGTTATTCCATGGAACCAACTAACTAAACACGATCAAGTGTAAAATATTTTGGTATTCTTATACTGATACTGTTGTTCAAATTCTTATATTGTTATAATTTATTTTTTATTTTATTTATATTTTTTTTAATCTCTATGCATCTACCTTTTCTTGCGCTGATATTGTAACCTCTTTGATGCAGAATTAAACTTATTTCTTATTTTTCTCTTTTTCTAAATACCTTGTAAAGGTGATACGTCTTTTCCATTCTTTTCGACACACGTCATATTTTGACGTGTGCCCAATGGGGTCATTTCAATTTTAACTTTTTAGTAACTATATTATTTTGTTCTTACTTTTCTCTTCATTAATATTTTAGAAATTTTTACTGATCTGTGGTTATTAAGTTAACTTATGTACTCATTTGATTTAATTTTTATTTATAATTTATTCATTGATTAGTTAGTCCTTCTGGTTGCATCTTTCAGTGTCTTCTTGTACTTTTACAGATTTTTATAGCTTCCATTAAATCTCTTCCTTTTCGTTATTATTAAATCAGTTCTTCTTTTCGCCTAATTCTACCTAATATCTAATTATTTAATCAGATATCGCCTCTTAATTTGCTGTATTCACTTCTATCACTATTTTTTAATTCAAATATTTTAATAGTTTTGACATCCTAATTTACAACATCTCTATTCAATACGAATAGACTAGGCGGGATCTGTAGAAATTCAGACCATAATAAACATTTTCCATAGGAAGCTATTTTTTTATTGGAATCCCTTCAGGATGTGCCCAATATCAATCACGATATGCGCCAGTCACAAACCCTGTGCTAAATTTTTTATTTAACAAAATCTGAAAACAATTGAAAATTTCTCATTTTTTTACATAACTAATTTTACACAATAATTTTACACAATATTTCGTTGGCTAGAAATTGAAAAGTTAATGTTTATTGTTGAAAAAATAGCAATAATTGGAAAAAAAGTACAAAAAAATTAAGTTAATTTTTTAAATGTTTTCGACTTTCTAAACTTGACTTACAAGCTCCATATTCCACCTAAAAAAACTTTTTAATATGTTTAAAACGTGCGCTAAATATTGTTAAGATCGGTCAGATGGGTTTTGCATAATAATTTTGCAATCCATCCTACTGGAAAAAAATCGCAAATTTTCAAATTTATAGTAGGCAATAAATAAGGTCCTCAGATAGTTGCAAATTTTTTTACATATAAAGGAAGGCTTAAACTTTCAAACGCTTTTTGTAAAATTGAAATCGGTTTACTATTAGAGCCTAATTTTTTTTTTAATTTTAAACCTTTTTTAGGCTTATAAACAAATTGAATAATTTTACGAGCTTTAAACATATCAATTTCAAAATTTATACACTTAAAGAACATTAAAAGACGCTTCTTTAAAAAAATGATACATTCGGCTTACTGGCTTACTACTTACTTTACTACTTTTTAAACAAATACCCTCGTCTTGTCAAGTACTTTTTATATGAAAAGTTTTACGTAATGCGCTTCATGGCAACATCCATAAAAAATACAAATTAAAAACCGTTTTCGCGTAAAATTAATAAGAGATGGTGATGGGGGACATTCACTCGAAATGTGAATCGGCGCTTTCAAAATCATAGCGCGCGCTAAAAATTGCATTATCTCGACTTCTTGTTAACCAATTTTGCTGTTTTTTTAATCGATGTCTCAGACGACAAGGATTTCAAATACCATATTTTCAAATACCATTTTTAATTACAAATTGGGAAATTTGCAATAAACACAACAATTGTATGTTGAACAAGTAATTGCATTTTTTCTTCATGCATTTTTTGAGCTTGCAATTTATACATTGAAGTAAATTGTTACTTTTAGTAAACAAATATGTATAATGACATAGAAATCCGAAAACCTAGTTTAAATGATTTTATTTCAATAGAGTTTGGCATAATTTATTAGTCTTACTGAAAAAAACAAGTGATAAAGTTTTTAGCCTTATCAGTTGAGATTCCGGTTTTTATACTTTTTGTTTTTAAATTCACTAACAATCTAAAAATGAATATTTCAGCCGCAGTAAAGATCCAAATGTGGCGTATTGTGGTTCTTGATATTCTTTACGATTGGTTTCGATGCCTAGAGTACGGAGACCTGCACGATTTCGTCAACTTAGTGAGTTTGATAGGGGCCTTTTGGCATGCGAAGTGTTTACCGACGAATGAGAAGTTTTGACCTGTTTTCATACCGACCACACTGGGTTCTTCCTTTAACTCCAGAACACCGCCGTAATGGAATTCAGTAGTGCAGAGAACGGTCACTCTGGAATCGAGAATGAAACAGTATTGTCTTTGGTGACGAGTCTCGATTTTGTTTAGGCATGCACGATGGTCGAGCGAGGGTTAGAAGGCGACGTAATGAAAGGAGGAATCCACAGTTTTTTGTTAAAAGACATGTTCATCACACTGTTGGAGTTATGGTTTGGGGTACTATAGCTTATGGTTCCAGGTCACCTTTAATCTTCATCAGAGGTAACATGAACGCGCATCGTTATATCCAAGCGGTTCTAGAACTCCACCTTTTATCCTATCTTGACACCCTGGCAAATCCAACTTTCCAACAAGATAATGCCCAACCACATGTTGCAAGAGTCACAATAGACTTCTTTCAACATAATGATGTCACATTGTTAGCATGGCCACCAAGATCTCCCGACTTATTCCCAATTGAGGACGTGTGGGATATGATGGGTAGGAGATTGCTCAATTTGCAACGTCCTCCTCAGACTCTACAAGCATTTCGAGAGGAGTTGGTGGTTGTCTGGAATGAGATACCACAAGAGGACATTGACCATCTGATCAGAAGCATGCCTAGGCGCGTTGGAGAATGCGTAACACATCGGGGTGCATCCACACATTATTAAAGGTAAAAGGGCTTTAAAGCAATGCAATCATTTTAAAATTTTAATCATTTACTTATTATGCTGCATTAGGTACTTATACAAAATTTTATTAAAATAAAATCATTTAAACTGGGTGTTCGGTATTCTATGTCACTTAGTATATTTATAAATTGTTAATAAATAATTTGAATTGTTAAAACAAAGGCGAACGAAAAACATTTTTTTTTTGTAAAAATCAAACTTTTTAAAATAATTACCATTAAAAATAATCTATTTCTGCAGTTTTATCATAATAATGACATTATTTGATTTGAGAATATATTTTGATTCGAAAATGACGTGTGTTATTACACTGCTGTGTAATGCTCGAAACTGGTTTTTTTTTTGAGCTTGCAATATATACATTGAAGTAAATTGTTACTTTTAGTAAACAAATATTTATTTATAAATTGGTAATAATTCATTTAAATTGTTAAAACAAAGGCGAACAAAAAAATTTTTTTTCATAAATAATCTTTATTTGAACTCAATCTTCAATAATTTTTTTTGACGTCTTTTTATTTTTTGTTGGAAGGACAAGAATCTTAAGGTCTTATTTCTTTCTCAAAACCTTAATTTTCCATTTCAATATCTTCATCATCGATCTGTAAATTTAATGTTTCTTCTCCTTCATATGTAACTTTATCTTGTGCCTCTAGAAAATCTAAGGAATCCATCGACTCCATATCCATATCTCGTTCAACTTCTTCCAATATTTTACTGTGTTCAATATTTTTATGTGTCTAACAATTGCAGTGAAGACAATAGTCAGAACATTTGAGACCATGTTTGATACAACTGCACGTTTTTGTACAAAATTTTTTACATTTGCAACTAATATTTCTGAATAATGAGTCAGGTAGTTATATCTGCTCAGTTTGTATTGGCTCAGGACTATTTTGAGTTAATACCGAGCGAAATTTTATGCAAAAACGGTTTTTTATTTGTCTTTTTTCTGGATCATGCCATGAAGCGTATTACGTAAAACTTTTCATATAAAAAGTACTTGACAAGACGAGGGTATTTGTTTAAAAACGAGCCCTCTATCACTTATGGCTACACAGCAAATATATGCCAACTTTGACTTACAATATCTCGGCAACCAGTAAGCCAAATGTATCTTTTTTTTAAAGAAGCGTCTTTTAATGTTCTTTAAGTGTATAAATTTTTAAATTGATATGTTTAAAGCTCGTAAAGTTATTTAATTTGTTTATAAGCCTAAAAAATATTTAAAACTTTAAAAAAATTTCTAGGCTTTCCTAGTGAATCGATTTGAATTTTACAAAAATCGTTTGAAAGGTTGAGCCTTCCTTTATATGTAAAGAAATTGCAAATATCTGAGGACCTTATTTAGGGCATACTATAAATTTGAAAATTTGCGATTTTTTTCCAATAGGCTGGATTGCAAAATTGTTATGCAAAACCTATCCGACCGATCTTAACAAAATTTAGCACACGTTTTAAACATATTAAAAAGTTTTTCTAGGCGGAATATGGAGCCTGAAAGTCAAGTTTAGAAAGTCGAAAACACTTAAAGGATTAACTTCATTTTTTGGTACTTTTTTTCCAATTATTGCTCTTTTTTCAACAATAACATTAAATTTTCAATTTCTAGCTAACGAAATATTATGTAAAATTGAATAACGAAACTTTTAACTTCGTATAATTTTTTGTCTAGGATCAATATTTTCCGAATTATAAACAAAAATATGAGCAAAATAATGAGAAATCTTCAATTGTTTTCAGATTTTATATATAAAAAATATATCACAGGGTTTGCGACTGGCGCATATCGTGATTATCGATATTGGGCACATCCTGAAGGGATTCCAGCAAAAAAATAGATTCCCATGAAAAATGTTCAATCCAAAACAGATTAGACCGCCTAGACTATAATATATTTTACAAGTTTATGAAGTTAAACTAGTTAGTTAAATTTCCTTAAAAATTAGATACATAGAAAACTAGAAAGCGTAGCACTAATGAAAATGAGGAAAACAGTAAATAAATGTTTATAAAGTAATTTCTAAAGATGAATATGATGGGGCGACAAAAAAAGAAGAAAATTAAGAGTAGTAATAGAAATTAAAACTAATTCAATATATTTAAATTATTATGAATTGTATTCTGTTTAATTGCAAATTGTGTATTTAATCAATTTTTAAATAATATATTTCTTCCAAGATATTTGATTCAATTTCAATTTGCATTGCGTCAGGAAAGTTCTTTTTGTTACTAATTTGTTTTAATATTTGCTTTAAGGTTTCTCTTTTACATAAAGTTATACATAACCGGGCTTCTTTAGTATCTAAAGTAATTTGTCCTTTTATTACTTCTCGTCCAATTTCTTGTAGTGTCAAGGTTTGTCTTGATAAGGTAAGTTGATGTCCTTAAAACAAACGCATGTATGGATTTTTATTTTTAATCTGTGGCTTTTTTCTATTTGTATGGCCTTTTGTGTCTTTATTTCGCGATTTAATTTCATTAATGCATTTGATAAGTAATTAGTATTGCATGGTGTTGGGGTAAATCGCTTGTTTGATACTCGCTTGCGTGAAATTGATACACTGAATTTACTATTACTTTATTTTTACTGAAACAAACTTATTACAAAAACTCATTACAACAACATGTACTTCTACTCTGTAATCATGTCTATCGCTATCTTCATTCTCTTCTTCTTTTTTCATCTGCTGTTACTTCTTAACTATGGGTGTGGACAACTGCACCCACTATCACACCAACTACACTCAATGTTTTAATTCTCCGTAACATACCGGCCGCCTTGAAACGTGTTAACACTTTCAATTATGTCCTGCGCTTTAGTCGGTAATATACAAAGTTCTGAAACGGGTCGTTTAAACATTTTATTGTTTATGCGGACTGTTACCATTCGCACTACTCTATCAGTTCCTGGATGAACTTGTTCGACCTTAGTCATTGCCCAACTTAGGGTTGGAGTCTGTTTATCTATCACTAGGACAATATCTCCTGGTTGGAGGGTTCTCTCGGAATGTTGTTTCCACTTGCTTCTGATTTGTAGTTCAGCAAGACTTGATCTTCTCTTTCATCTTCTCCAAAAATGCTGAAGAATTTTTTGTAATTGCTCGAAACGCTTGAGACAATTTTCTGGTATTTGACTGACATCTCTGTCTGGCAGCGAAACTAAACTGCTTCCCAGAAGAAGGTGAGCGGGAGTCAAAGGATTGAACTGATCAGGAGAGGATGTTATAGGGCATAAAGGACGTGAATTAAGAATTGATTCGATCTCAACCAGTACTGTGTGAAATTCTTTTAGATTTAAATGCGCTTCTTCCACAACCCTCTTAAAATGAAATTTAAAACTCTTAACCCCAGCTTCCCAGGTCCCTCCAAAATTTGGAGTTCTGAAAAGTATGAAATGCCAATATATTCCTTGCTTGGCGAGGTAACTATTAAATTCTTCCAAAATCGCTTATTCTTTGAGAAAGTTATTAAGATTTTGTAATTCTTTTTTTGCACCTACATATATTTTCCCATTATCTGAATAAACCTTAGTTGGTTCTCCACGTCTGCTTACAAATCGTCTAAAAGTAGCTAGAAAACAAGCAGTGGTTAGATCAGATGTAACCTATAGGTGCACAGCTTTTGTCGACAAACATACAAATATACATACATAGCATTTTATTAATTTAATACCTCTAGTCAATCGATCTTTTAACAAAAACGGACCAGCGAAATCCTTTCCTATATTAATGAAAGGTAAATATTGTGTTATTCGTGTAGCTGGTAATTCTCCCATAATGTACTTACCAGGTATAGGTTTTGCTCTAATGCATAAGATACAGTTATCTGTACCATGGTGATCAGTAAGAGGGGCAAAATTATTACAATTATCCAGATAAAAGGGGGAAGATATTGAGCAAGTGGACAAAATGAAATACTTAGGAGTCTGGATTACGGAAGATCTGAATCCCAAATCAGGAATTTGCTTAGGAATAGAGCAATTAAAAGCAGGTTTTTTCAAGATCAGGAAATTTCTGAGTAACCAAAGACTGAATCTCCAAATCCGATATCAGATGGTAAAATGTTATATGCACTCTATTTTTTATGATGTAGAAGCCTGAACTGTTAATGTTGACTTAACGAGAAAATTGGAAGCTTTTGAGATGTGGCTTTTTAGGAGAATTTTGAAGATACCATCTTCTTCTTCAAGTGCCACCTCCGCGGCAGAGGTCGGCAATCATCATAGCTATTCGGACTTTTGGGACGGCTAATCTGAAAAGTTCATTCGATGCACATCCGTAATACTCTCTCAGGTTGCGCAGACATGACATTCTACGCCTCTCTATGCTAGAAGATACCATAGACCGATGATATTACGAACGAAATAGTGTTGTACAGAATGAGAAGAGATAGAGAACTTTTAACCACCACTAAAAGCCAAAAGACAGCATATTTGTGGCACATACTTAGAACTGATAAGTACGAGTTGTTGCAGCTTATTATGAAGGGTAAAATCGAAGGAAGAAGGGGTCCTGATAGACGACAAATATCCTGGCTGAAAAACATTCGCGACTGGACAGGGTTAAACACACAGACGCTCTTAAGAAAAGCAGAAGATAGAGACGAATTTGCAATGGTTATAGCCAACCTTCATTAGTGGAAACGTCACTAGAAGAAAAATAAACATTTTAATTTAAAATTATTTTAGCTATGTTTTTTGCCTGCAAAACTTTTCTGTAGCGTACAGATTCTTGGTAAATCGATGGTTTATCCTATGTTTCGATGTTGTTCGAACCCCCTGGGGTTTTCGAAGAAAGGTCGGGGTTAGGAGTGGCAGTGACAGTTTTGTATCTTTTTGAGTTTCAAAAATATTATTCTCAGCCAAATTCAGCCTATTTGTATCTATTTGTATGATATTTAGAGGTTCAGTGGCATTTTCGTTTGTCGCATGACTACTGGAATATATTACTTCATGTATGATTCCTTCTTGTTTGAAAATACATAAATATTGCACTTCTGATTACATTCAACTCTTAAGTTTCGACCTGCTTCTTGTTTTTGGAATAATTGTAAATGGTTAGGTTACTGTGGCAATTTTGCTACTTTGAAGTGAGTTGGGCGCGCTAATATTTTTCTCCCCAATTTGTATCCAAAACTTTAATTATGTCTTTAAACTTGGTATACATATCCAAATTTTTGGGAGATTTTGTTCTTGTCTTTATTTGCATACTCTAAAAATTTGAACTGATCAAGTTCTTGAAAAGTTAGAGACAAAATCAAGCAATTTAATTAGACCCAGCCTGTGATACATGTTCACCGTTAAGAGTTACGTTCGGGTGTAACAATTCATTGAAGCGTGTTGTATTAACTCGAGTTAAAAATAAGTCACTCTATCAGCCATCCAGACCATCCCTTTCCGCCCCACAGCACTCTCATGCGTGATAATTGCACAACTATGAGCCAAATGCTCTTCATGTGGGAGTCCTGGGTAACAGAATTCTAAAATGGTTTCCTAACCGAATTCAAAACTCAGGACAGCCCAATCTCGCTATAATATTGTTATCTTACTGTGGCTTATTCGCGAACTAAAATTGCTTACTTGGGCCTCAAGTCTCCGCTCTGAGCTAGGGTCAGTTCGGCCACTCGGTGCTCAAGGTATTGGGCCCTACGTGCCCGGGTTTTCGGGTTTTTTTTAGTTTTTTTTGTTGGCTTGCGCCGGTTTTTGTTAGTATTTTTTAATTTTTATGGTGGCTGAGGCCCTTTTTTGTGTGTTCTTTGATTTTTTTTGTAGGTAGCCCTGAAACAAAAAGTCATAATTATTACAATATCTATATTATTGATCTATTTATAACATTGAAAAATGTATACAAATATGTGACAATATAACAATATAGAGTTTGTCCACTTAAGGCAACTGGGCCCACTATGTATTTTACGATTGTCCACGAGTGTTATGAGCTACGAACTATCTTCACTGTGCGTTGTTGTTGTTTTTTGAAGTGTTTTCTCTCTGGTGTTTTGTTTTCTCTCTGGTGTGCGGTTAAAGACATAACTAGAAATATAATATATCTCTTCCAACAAGTATGTTTTAGTGAAAAATATCCTAAACTACTAAAGTCCGCTCTTTCGAAATCCCATTGTTACCGAAAACGAAAACGCAAGTTATTGGTCTTAAATTTTGGAAAAGAAGATTGGAGTGCACAAGTACTTTAAGACGTTCTTGAAATCAACTTTTATTGATTGACTACTTCATAAAATATCATTTCATTTGATTTTATTTTTGTTTCACTATTCTGTATTTTTCTGCTAATGGGTAACGCTTTTATTCAATATTAGATTATCAGATTATGTAAAGAAAACAATATTTACCATAAAGAGAAAAAAGTTGTTGCCTGCAATATTAAAAAAGGATAGTGATACTTTGAACTATAGAGGATTTGCTATTTGTAGTGTATATTTTATCATATTCTTTAAATAATTATTTTATACAGTATTTACGTAAATTGCTTGTTGTTAAATATTTTTGTATTATTTAAACCATGAAATAAAGATCAAATGTTATCAGTGTATATTTTGAGAAAATTTGTTTGTGTAATCATATATATAACATAATATTTTACAAAATTGTTTCTTTTAAAAATTATTACAATATTGATATTAGAAAATTACGCAGTTTTAGTAGTAAAAAGTTAATTAGTATAATTAATGCACGTTTTATCGTAACACGAATTTGTAAATAAATCTATCGATTTGTTCGGAAACCCGTTTTCTTGTAGCATGTCTAAGCATGTCAATCAAATACTGGTTTAAAATAAAAAGATACTGATAAAAAAAATAAAAATTGTATTAATTGTGAAACATACAGTTAATATAAAATAATAAAATACAATAAATTATACTGAAACGTAAAATACATACACAAAAACTGTAAGTTTTTATACATTCCTATTAATAATTAATAATAATCTTAATATTAATTATATTGGAAATAAGAATGAAAATTATATTAGCAATAAAACAATAAATAAATAACATATAAACAATGAATTTGACGTTAATTCGTTCAAATGTAAAATAAACTTCTGAGCTATAGTATAAAGTTAAGCAAGCAAGCAATTTAATTAAACCCAGTCTATGAGAAATGCTCACCCCTAAGTATTACGATCGGGTGTAACAATTCATTGGAGCAAGGTGTGTTAACTCGTGTATAAACAGGAGTCACCTCACCGTGCTCCAATGCTCTAGACCATCCCTTTCCCCCCTTTAGCACTCTGATGCGCTATAGAGGCACAGGACAGCGCATCTCCGCTTTATTCCTGTTATCTTAAGGTGGCTTATCTGCGAACTAAAATTGCTTACTTGGGCCTCAAGTCTCCGCTCTGAGTTCCGGCTCAGTTCGGCGACTTGGTGCTCAAGGGGTTGGGCCCTACGTGCCCGGGTTTTGGGGTTTTTGTTAATTTTTTGGTGGCCGAAGCCGGTTTTTTGTTAGTAATTTTATTAATTTTTTGGTTTTTTTTGGAAGCCGGTTTTTTGTGTTTTTTGTGGTTTTTTTTTTGTAGGTGGCCCTATGAACAAAAAATCAGAATTAGTATACAGTATATATTATAATAATGAAAATATGTAAAATATAATACAATACCACAATACAGACTTTATTCTTGTTTAGGCAACCAGGTCCACTTTGAGCTTGGCATTATTATGGGCGTTTTGAGCTACGAACTATCTTCCTTGTGTTTTGTATTTTGATTTTTGGAATTTCTTCTCTCTCTGGTGTTTTTTGGGGTTACGTTTCCATCGGGGTGTTTTTAATTCTCTCTCTGGGATTTTACTTTAGTCCACTATTTGTTGTTTGGGTCTTTTGTGCTTCCATCTGTGGAAAGCGTCATACCTCATTATCTCTCGTAGTAGGTGACTGGGGTGGTTCTCTAATTCTGCGAACTTTTTTCTGGCTTTTTCTTTCATAGTGTCAGTCACTCTGATTTGCTGTAATTCTCTGAAAAGGAATCTTTCAGCTACGTATCTTGGTATGTTTACTGCTTCTCGTAGGCTTTTGTTGTATGTCGCTTGTATTTTCTTTTCACACGTGTTGCATATGCGTCTCCATGTAAGTGACGCGTATGTAAGTATAGGAAGGACTATACTTTTTATTAGCCTTATTTTTGTTTTTAAACGATGTTTGCTTTTTCTTCCTACTAGGCCTCTTATTGCTGCTCTAGCCATGTTGGCTTTTTGTACGGTAGCTTCTACATGTTTGCAAAAAGTTAGACCTTTATCCATGATTACTCCGAGGTATTTTGCTTCGCTTTTCCACTAGATGGGATTATCTTGCACAGTTACCGGTTCTCCTGGTTGTTGGTGCCTCTTTTTAAAAAGTACAGCTTGCGTCTTATCGGAGTTTATTGCTATTTTTCACTTTAGACTCCATTCTTCTATGTCGTCTAGTGCTGTTTGTAGATTGTTGACTGCTGTGTCTACGTTTCTGTGTTTGGCCGCTATCGCAGTGTCATCGGCATAGAGACTTAGTAGTGTACCTGGTGTTCTAGGTATATCTGCTGTGTATATCGTGTACAGCAAAGGTAACAGTACCGCTCCCTGTGGCACCCCAGCCTCTGGGTTCCCGAGCTCAGACAGGACTTGTCCTATCCGGACTCTGAAACTACGGTTGCTCAAGTACGATGAGATCAGTCTTGTCATTGCTCCGCTGTACCCGTATCTTCTCATTTTGTATATTAGTCCCTTATGCCAGACTCTGTCGAATGCCTTACTTACATCCAGGAATGCTGCTCCCGTGAATTGTTTGTCGTTGAATCCAGCTGCCATGTACTCTGTTAGTCGGAGTACTTGTAGCTCACTGGAGTGTTCTGATCTGAAGCCGAATTGAGCTTCAGGTATGATTTCTAATCTATCTGTTTCAGCTTGGAGTCTGCTAAGTATCACTCATTCTACGATATTGCTAATTGATGGTAGTAAGCTTATTGGCCTGTAGTTCTGTGGAAATGTGCTGTCTTTTCCGGGCTTTGGTAGCATTATGACATGGGCCTATTTCCATCTGTTTAGGGAATTTTTGAACCTTAGCATTGCATGGATGATATTTGTTAAGTATACTATGGCTCTCGCTGGTAAGTATTTTAGAGCTCTGTTCATGATCTGGTCTGGACCGGGTGCCAGTTTTGGCGAGCTGTTTTGAATTTGCTCGTTTATCTTCTCTGGTGATGTGGGAGTGATTATTTCGTCTGGGTTTTCCGATCTTTCCTTTTGTCTTTCGACTTCTTCTATGAAGTCGATGTCTTCGTCTGGGTGGTAATTTAATGTACACTCTCTCGAGAGAGTAATTTTCATTACCTCTGCTCTTTCTTCTATGCTGTATAGTATTCCATTTTCTCCATGTAATGGTGAGATTGGCTTTATGTCGCTTCTTGGAATTCTTTGAAATCTCCAAATATTTTGCATATTTGGTCCTTGTTCTTCCAAATCTCTTATGTGGTTATCCCAGCTTTCATTACGGTATTGTTGTAGTGCTGTTTTGACCTCTCTATTTAGCCTGTTAGCTCTTTTTTTGGTCTACCTGGTTCCTTGTCCTTCTTGCTATCTGTTTTGCTCTGTTCTTTTTCCTTATCAAATCCTTTAATACTTGTGGTATGTCTTTAAATCTGCCCGTGTGTCTTTCTGCTTTCTGTTCTGTAGTGCTATTCCTGATTGCTTGCTGTATGATGTTTTCCAACTCTAGGACCCTGTCTTTTATTTCTCGTGGGTTGTCTATCACTGGGACCATGTTTATTCCAGTGCTCACGAGTCTCTTAAAGTTTGTCCACTTTGTTTTCTTTTTAATCCTTTTAATTGTACTTTCTTCTTCCCACGTTCCTAGTTCTAATAGGATGATGTTGTGGTCAGTTGTGCCTTCGTTTATTGTTTGTATTTCTGTTTGTAGTCCTAGGTTTTTAGCAACTACTATGTCTATATGTATGGGAAGTGCGTTTCCTGGGTAATGCGTTATGTCAGTGGGGCCCATTGCCATAACGTATTCGTTAGTTTCGATGTATATGTTTAGTAGTCATTTTTGTTCGTAGCTCTGTCATTCTAGTTTGGGGATCTTGCATTTAGGTCTCCTATTATTATTGAGGGTTCGCCGTTTTAGAACGTATTTTAATCTTCGTCGATCAGTAGATCTTGCGGTCTTACGTAGGCGGAGGTAATCCTGACTTCTTCTTGCCTCATTTGTATTCTTATTGATGTTGCTTGAGTCCATGTGACATGAAAAATCTAAATAGTCAAACTCAATGTAAAATAAGCTAATATATTGACGTTGTACGAAAAGCACACGTACTACAATACGCTTAACAATTTAGTTTTTTTTTGAGAATTTACTCCAGCTTATTTTTTAAATATACTATAAATAATATGTTTATATGGAATTAAGTCATCAATATAATTTATTATCATAGATTTCCACTCCGGAAATCCTTTTCAAAGAAGATAACAGTGTGATTTTTTTTAATCAAGTTGTTTGGTGTATATTTTTCTTTTCCAAAAATTGATGTTTGACTTACTTGATCTTAATATTGGAGGCATATATCCAAGTATCCTAAGAATGATGAAATTCTGATTGAAATGCATCTGAAACTGTTTTCCTATGGCCCATTGTAGCTCATCCCCAGTAAACATAATATTTAATTTAAATTTTTAATGTTAAGTATGTCTATGTACTATGTGTTTAGGCATTATGTGTGTATGTATTGTGTGTTGTATACTTGTTATGTGTATGGTCTCTGGCTTTGCATTAGAGCAGCTGGTTTAGGCTCTGTCATATTATAATGATTTGATATTTTTCTTTTTGAAATTCATGTTATGATTTAAGAGTTTATGATTAACACATCCAAAAAAGAAAGATAGTTGTTGAATTCCTTCTGTGGATATATTAATCCGCAGTGATTCATAATATGTATGTACCATTATGTTCTCCGATTTCTTTCAAGAAGCATCGATTAAAAAAAAAGTTATAAAAGTATATAAAGAAAAAACGTATCTCTATTAGTATCATCATCAACAACAACATCTAAACTAGCGCCAGTGGAATTGCAACTATCAGTAACATTTGATTTTAAAAACTACTGTTTGGTATGCAGTGAAAAAGTCTATCTAGTCGCGTAAATAACCATTTGAACGAATGCAACCAGGAGTTGAGAAAAGAAATATTAGAGGAATTGCACCTATCAGTAACATTTGATTTTAAAAACTACTGTTTTATATGCAGTGAAAAAGTCGATCTAGTCGCGGAATAAAGCTTCCTATAAAGCTGTGGTGTCAAATTTTTGGTGAATTCCCGAATACTTTGAATAACCATTTGAACGAGTGCAACCAGGAATTGAGACGAGAAATATTAGCACGCGTTTAAAATACATCTAAAATACTGATTTATTTATCTTTTTATTGAAGCGCAGTATCATCGAAATTGCTGAAAAAGCAATGCATTACTGATTAGTGACCATGATCAGTCTAGTAGTGTTTGGTTCAACCCGTAAGACTGTTAAGTTTAATATTAATTCTTGTAATAGTATTAATCTTAGCTCTGGGTTTAATTGTACTAACCACGGAAATATGTTCTTTAACGTTTCTGTAGCGTCTTCTTAATTTGTCTTCGTTGGGAATACTGTCCCTACTTAATATTCTAGCAGTCCTTTGAAACTAGTACATCTATACTATATTTAATTTTTTCTTTGCTTCAGCATGGATCTATTTTAGTAAAAAATTTCAGAATAAAAATTATGCAAAAGAAATTAATCGTATATAAAACAAAAAACTTGTGCACAGTCAAAGCTTTGGAAGTTTTAATAGCTTAATTGTTTCGTATTAAAGCATAATGGAATTTGTTTGAAATTTATGTCGATGAGCTGTATTTGTTTAAAGTTTTCTGTATTTTTTTTTTCAGACAAGTTATTCCGACAAAGGATCAGTGGTGAGTTAAATAATAATAAAAGGATAACTAGTAATTGTATATTAATTAAAATTAGAATATTTTAATGTATTGTTATAAAATTATCACTTTTTTTTATTTGTTGCAGCCCACTAATGGAAAATTTTTAAATTTTCATCATTTAACATTTGTCGTTGGAAACGCAAAACAGGTAAAGTACAAGTTTTGTTAATATTTTAGTTATATATATTTTAGAAAAAAAATATTTTGATATAAACATTTAGGTTTATTATCGTGCATTTTAAATAGTATTTTTTAATTGGACTAGGTACTATATAGGCCAGGGGAATAAGCAAAAAATTGCATTGTTAATGACACTAAAATGGCCTGATAAACGACAGTTGATTTAAATAGTATGGACATCTGTAATAAGAACCTATGCATTTCCTGCAGCAATACTTTAACAAAAGCTACCAAACTTGGCTACCAAACTGAGGGTCACACTGAGAAGAATAAGGTGATCCATGTTTGGAATAATTCTGCGGGAAGAAACAAAAAAAGAGGTCAGGAGAAGCACCAAGGTGACTGACGTCATGAATAGGGCAGCCAGATTAAAGTATCTGGAGGACCAAGTAAAGATAAGACAATCGTCGGTCAACTACGTACACAATGGACTGACGATCTAAGACCGAATTAATAAAAACTGGATAAGAGTGGAGCAAGATAAACGGGGTTGAAAACTCAAGGAATAGGCTTATGTTCAGCAGTGGACTTTTGGGACGGGATGATGATAAATGCGTACAAAACTTTTAAAATGGCGTTTTTTAAATAATATCGTCTTTAAATGACATGTTCAAGTCCTATTTGTTGCTTAGAATGTTGCAAAATAAGTCAGAAATTCTGGTTTTTTAAACACGTTAGTACCTTTTTAAAAATAAACTCAGATCCTTTATATTGCATGGAATATTATCGAAAAGTGATAAACATGGAAAGCGATCGGTTAAATTATTTAAAAATTATTTTATTTGTTTACCCCAAATAAAATTTTCTTGCAACAATATACCTAGTAAGAAAATGATGGAGTTGTACCAATTCTACGAATAGCTTATGCAAGAAACAAATTCAATCAACATTTTTTAAAAAAAGTAAGTAAAAAAACATTATTTAAAAAAAGGATCTCAAATGTTGCATAATCATATTGAGTTTTTGCTTATAAACAATTAAAATAATTTTTTAACTGTTGCCTGCAAGAAAATTATTGTTTTATATTTGGAAAGGCTTTTGTTACAGAGGTTCATACTACTCAAAACAAATGTCCTTTGTCGGACCGGGTCTGTGTCATAAGAAAAATATTATATCTCTAGTCTAATAAGCAAAAATATAAAATTAATATACGAAGAAGGTTGCGTTTCGATTTAATTTGAGCCTCTCACCACTCCCTAACACGTGTTTTTGGGTCTACCCGTCATCAGAGAGAGAGAGTTTGTAAGGAGACTCAAACTAAATCAAAACGTACAGACTACTCTAGCAATTATAGAAAAATAATTACCAGAGTATGCTACTAGAGACCTCTAGTGAGAAAAGATAAAGTTAAATCTGTCGATAGAAATTAAAGTAAACTTTATACCCAATCTTAATCAAGCCATTCAGAGCAATGCTGGGAATATTTATATTCCACTATGCACCAACAATTTACCAATATAAATTATCATCATGTACATCTTGTACTCATTGCGTCTAGTAAGGACGATAAATATATGAAGAAGGATGCGTTTTAAATTAAATCGAATATAATTTGAACCTTCTTCGTGTATTTATCGTCCTGCTACTCTAGCAAATGAGTTCAAGAATGATGGTAATTTATATGGGTAAATTGTTGGTGCATAGTAAAATATGAATATTCCCAGCATTGCTCTGAATGGCTTGATTAAGCTTGGGTATAAAGTTTACTGTAATTTCTACCGACAGATTTAACTTTATCTTTACTCACTAGAGGTCTGTAATAGCATTCTATGGTAATTATTTTTCTATAATTGCCAGAGTAGTCGGTGCGTTTTGATTTAATTTGAGTCTTATCTATATCAGATTTAATTTAACTCTATCTGATGACGGGTAGACCAAGAAACACGTATTAAGGAGTGGTAAGAGACTCAAATTAAATCGAAACGCAACCTGCTTCGTATATTTATCGTCTTTTCTCAACGAACTGAGTACAAGAATGATGGTAAGTTTAATGGGTAAATTTTTGATGCATAGTGGAATATCAATATTCCCAGCATCGCTCTGAATGGCATGATTATGCTTGGGTATACAGTTTACTTCAATTGCTATCGACAGATTTAACTTTATAAAATTAATATAAAATTAATATTCTACAGTTTAACATTTTAACATTACACCTAATCAAAACTTTTTAATCAATTATATGCTGAAATTGTGAGAATTTTTATGCTGAGTTTTTGTCAAAATAAGTTAAAATGATAAACAGTTATTATTATTTTATCAACGGTTTTGAGCTTGAAACTAGAAACGTTTAAAACCGAAAAATTTATTTCAGGCGGCTTCCTATTATATAACACGATTAGGATTCCAACCTGTATGTTATAAAGGACTTGAAACTGGAGAAAGAGACTACGTTCAACATGTTGTCCGCCAAAATAACGTAAGTTTGACACTTTTAGGTTAATAACTATATAATTTTATTATATGAAAATATACACAAGTTCTTTATATTTCTTCCGCTGGATGTTTTTTTTGTCTAATTGTGCGCAAATGAGCTTTGATTCTTTTAATGAATTTTAAATATTTTCTTTTAATTGTACTAATAGTTTATCAGTTCCTCGCTCGTATCATATAAATATTAATCCTTTTCACAGATATGACTCCCCTAAATGTTTCGAAATAATACATAGACGAAACATATCTGCTAATTTACAATTATTGAAGTATCTTTACATAATTATGCTCTATCATTTTGAGATGAATTGGTATCTAGACTATTTCTCATATTATTATTAATATATATATATATATATATATATATGTATATATATATTAATATTAATATATATTATATTAATAATAATTTTTAATTTTTTAATCCATCCATCCAGGCCATAAATGGATGGTTTCGTAGATGTATTTTGACTAGTTGTTAATAATAGAAAACACAAACAGCATAACATTAATGAAAAACCGTTAATTACGCTAATAGTCCATGGTATAAGACATGTTTATGATTCGGTTTCTTTGTGGATTCTTTTTAAAATAATGTCACTTTTAAACAAATGTAAAGGATGCCTGAAACGATAGAAATGGTAGAAGAATTCTGCTACTTAGGATCACTACAGGTAAACTACAAAAATAACACATCCAACGAGATAAAAAAAAAAAGAATATGCGTGACTAACCGCTGTTATTTCGGCCTGGGCCCTCAACTAAGTGCGAGAAGTATGTCAATAGCAACAAAGTGCAAACTTTATAAAACAATAATACGCCCAGTGCTCACATACGGATTGGAAACATGTGCAATGACGACCCGAGATGAAGAGTTACGACGAGTCTTTGAAAGAAAAGTATTAAGAACCATATATGGCGGAGTAAACGAACAGGGTCTGTAGAGAAGGCGATATAACTATATAACTATGAACACGTTATGCGGATGGATGAGAGTGCTCCCACTAAAATAACTATGCTAAACAGACCGGTCGGAAGAAGAAGAAGGGGGCGACCTAAACTCAGATATCTGGACGATGTACAGGAAGATCTGAGGGAGATTAGAGTGAGGGGCTGGAGAAGACAGACACTCGATAGGGAAGGATATAAAAATGTTTTGAAGCAGGCCAAGGCTCACGAAGGGCTGTAGGGCCAACTGATGATGAAAGGATGCCTGAAGAAATTTTTTATATAGAAATTGTTTAAATTTTTTTTATTAAAATTTTTAGTGGTACCTATATTATCTTAATTAAATAAAAATTTTAATGAAATAAGTAAATACACTTTTCTTATACGAGGGTCGATTGGTATAAAACTAGCCTTTGATAGAAAAAACAAGTTATTTGGTTTCCAGTGTGTAATAATGCACCCAAGTTTCATCAACGGTAATAAATAAGTGAAAAAAATCCTTCGGATCGCCCCCTACCATCACCACAAGCGTCTCCGAAGTGGTCACACGTTTTTGCATTTGATCGGTTGTCAGCAAACGTGGCACTGTTCGTAGGAAATGTTTAGGACCTCTATTCACTAGCGGAGCCTAATTCGACAATATGCCCTTATCATGTTATGAACTTTGTTGATCATTTCCGGCGTGGTGACTTCATTTGGCCTCCCAGAACGCTTATAATCAAAAACGCTCGTACGACCACGAACAAATTCACCTGTCCAAAATTTTACTGTTGATAACGAAGGTGCAACCTCACCATAAACTTAGTCCAAGTCGGCTTTGCTTTGCACATTCGTTTTACTCTTTTTGTGTAGGACCTTAATCACCGAACGATACTCGACTTTTTCCATTTCTCCGAAAACATAAAATTTGCTTACTTTTGATGGCTGTAAAAACCAAACTAATTGTTTTTAAAACTTAAAATTTTGACAGAGGTCATGTCATGAATGACAAATGTCAACACCGAAACCAATTCATAAATGATCATCGGATTTACTGCAATAATTAAGAAATATTGAAAAGTCCTTAGGGGGTAAAGTAAGATTAACAACCAGGATAGAAATAGAATTTTGATTTGTTTGTTCAAAAATAAATGTGATGTTAAATTGCAGAAACACTTAGAGGAGGTGTACCATGTTTTCTTCTAATGCTAGATGTTAATTCATGCCACATGTGTTCATTATTATTTAATCTTCGCTTATCTACTGCTGGACATAGATGTCCCTCATATTTTTCCATCTATTTCGATCTTGTGTATCTTACCTCCAATTCCTATGACAACGTTTTAGATCGTCAGTCCAACTTGTTGGTGGACGACCTCTGCTTCGGTAGGCATCATCTCTTGGTATACATTCCAGTATCCGTTTTGTCCATCTATTATGTCATACATGTGTTCTATAGGATTAAAATATCAATAATATAGTGTCAGTCTTATCTTATCACAAACATATTCTTTTTATATATAATGTCCGTAAAATTTGCAATAAATCTGTTTTTGTAGTTATATGGTTCTTCAAAACAAATATCATTACCAAACATGCTATTTTGAATAGTAACTTTGGTACCATTGCCACAGCAAGCTTTATTTAATTGGCAACTATGATAAGACGCTTTGTACATAAAAATTACATTGTTTGGTGGTATAATTGGTGTTAAATTATTTTTAAACTTCTGTGATTGTATCTTGGTAATAACCGACGTAAGATGATCGATATTTTTGGTAGATAAAGACAGCGTTCGGAACCCATCCGTCTCCTGATTTGGCGTGGAACATGGTTGTGCGTTTTTCTTTATTGGAAGGTGCTTTTGTTAAATAGTGTTCGCTGTTGTCAAATAAACCGTTAAATGGAGTCTCATTTGTGTCGAACCACGTCTCATCTATCCTAATAATTTATTTATTTTATCTCCAGTACTATTTTATTTTCTTTTTTTCTGAAAATTAAGGCAAATATCGAGCACAAGTTTAGTCAAATCTTGCCCAAGTACTTTCGCTTAATATAGCATCTTCAGGGGCATTTCGCCAAATATGGGCTATCCAGCAAGCGTAGAATGTGATAAACATGAATGTTAACATAAAATTGTACAAAACACTACACTAAAACAGGGACAACCGGTTTAAAATTAATTAAAATAGTTCTACGCTCTACATTCTTTGTCGGTAACAGGAGAGAGATCATTCTCACATTCTACGCTTGCTGGATAGCCCATATTTGACGAAATGCCCCTGAAGATGCTATATTAAGCGAAAGTACTTGGGCAAGATTTGATTAAACTTGTGTTCGATATTTGCCTTAATTTTCAAAGTTCATTTATTCGAGCATTCAACCTTATATCGATTATTTTATTTTCGTTAAATATTCCGTTCATCATAAGTCTAGACGATAGAAACTTTCTAGAAAAACACCACTGTCACTTTTTTTAGTTTGTGGAAGAATAGGATTATTGATAATTTTTTAAATGGTTAAAATTGGTGTCCAAATCGGAGCAGTAGTTTGTTTTATAGCTGCAATTTCACTCATATGCCTATCGGTTAAAGATAAAAGAACATTAATAATTATTTATTTTGCAATAAATGCCAGATGAGTTCTTTGTAACCTTTATGATTCTTACCCTTGAATGGGAGCAGCTAAATGACAACTTTAAAACAGTAGCTTATTCTGGGTTATCGTTATCTCAATTCTGCGGACGCGGCATTGTAACAATATTTCGCTAAATAGCACAACTTCTAACAACTTGTTAACTCAAAAACTATTTTTAACTGGTAGTCTTTCATGTACGACGTACTTTGTTTTTAGGATTTGCAAAAGATAAAATTAACCCCAATAACAAGTTAGTGAAGATTATACGTCTTAAGTAATTAAATAAGTATAAATTTTTAGAATTTACAACCTTAAAAGTTTGCAGATTTATTTAGTTAGAATTTAAGTCCGTCTTGATAATTTACAAATTTTTAACAATAGAAGATTTATAAGGGGGGATTCTCTTTATTACTTTACATTTTACAATTTTACAGAAGAAAAATATTTGTGTCCTGTAAACTAACTAATTTTGTTTGCAGATATTTCTGGTGCTAACTTCCCCCTACAATCCAGGTGAGCAAATATTAAATGATCACTTGATTAAACATGGAGATGGAGTAAAGGATGTGGCATTTGAAGTTGAAAACTTGGAGGGAATTGTAGACGTAAGTTTATGCATTTAACTGTACATTTTATAAGTACAATTATTAAAATTTTTTCTGCAGCTGTCCCGAAAATAAAACCTTCGGTATGATTTATTAAATCGAAAGTACCATTTTACACAACTCGTAGCGAAAGTAGCTACTTTAAAGACTAATTTTTTGACTTTCGGGACGATTTTGGGTAGCTAGGTAAGGGCTTTGACAATAACATTAACTTTGTATTTTATTATGAAAACCGTGGTCATTTAAGATTCGTGTGGTACTGACACGTCTAACACTAATTTCAATACTGCCACATTTCTTAATATTTCTATATATTGTGTTATTAATATTCATAAGTAGATTTTTCTAATGTTGAAATTACGAGAGTAACTTTAAAGTGTTTAATAAAAGTTCATAAGTAAAGTTTAGTCATATGTTCTTGTTAACATACAAAACGGCCGCAGAAAAAATATTGTACATAACACGATCCAAAAGTAATTTTACGAGACTCGCAGGATTCCAGAACTCGCCTATAGCTCGCACTGGAAACATCCTACTTGTCTCGTAAAATATCACTTTCGAAACTTGTTAAGTAAATTACTATTAAACTTACATTTATCTAAAAGGTGGCCAAAAAAGACTTATATTTAATTTATTATTATTGTTGTTGTTGTTATTCAGAAGAGTTAAATAAAATAAAAAAAAGGCAAGAAATAGTCCTGCTAGGGGACCTGAACGGAAGAGTAGGTAAAGCTCTTGACAACAAAATAATTGGACAACACCGAGAAGATGTAGTAAATGAGAACGGAACAAGATGGTTGGAGGTATGCGAACAACATTAGTTAAAAATACTGAATAGATTTTACAAACATAGAGACATAAATAAATATACATGGACTCAAAAGACAAGAAAACTGCAGTCAATTATAGACTATATAGTAGTTAAACAAGAGACATCTTTAAGACCCTACGATGTAAAAGTTTGGAGAGGGGCAGAATGTGGATCGGATCACCTACTAGTAAAGGCACCCGTGGAAATAAGATACATTAAACAAAATAAATCCCAAGAACAGACAAACAAAGAATCCTCACGCCTCTACAAGTTTTCTTTATAAACTACGTTTGGCACAAAAATTAGACGAAGAAATAAACGGAACAGCGGAAGAAATGTATGAGACTTTGAAAATCAAAATTCATGAAGCAGCATTAGAAGCTCTAGGTACGAAAGAAAAAGTAAAACGTAGAAATTATTGGTGGACAGAAGGTTTATTAGAACTGGTAGAAGAAAAGAAAAAACTGTATCTCAAATGGTTAGCGACAAAAGATGAGGAAGACCGAAAGAACTATAACAGATACAAATATATAGTAAAAAAGGAAATTAAAAAAACAAAAAACATAACCTGGGACAACAAGTGTGCAGAAATAAGCTCAATGGTAGGAGGATTTAGGTCCAGACAAGCTTGGAAAACTATCAACAGTCTTAGAAAAAATACAAACGAAACAAAAAAAATAAACCCCATAGACATAGAAAGATGGAAAAATTATTATGAAAATCTATTAAATGAACAACGTACACAGTTTCTAGACACACAGATAGATAGAGTTGAAACTGGGTTAAAGGAAGTGGCGATGATTGCCGTAGAAGAAAAAATAAAAAACGCATTACAAAAAATGAAAAATAATAAAGCTCCTGGGCCAGGTGATTAACCTATCGAGTTATTCAAACATGCCACTGCAATAACATTAGAATTGCTTTGTTAAATGTTTAACAAGTGCCTACAAGGAGAAAGTATCCCAAGAGATTGGAAAGTCTCGTACATAAACTCCATCTACAAAAAGGGAAACAGGAATGACTGCAGTAATTACCGAGGTATCAGCATTACGTCATCCACTGGCAAACTGTATGAAAGAGTTCTGAAAGCCAGAATAGAAAAAGAAGCCACAAAGATCGAAGAACAAAGTGGATTCCGACCAGGAAGATCTTGTGTCGACAATGTATTTACTCTCAAACACCTAACGGAAAAGAGATTAGCAAGAGGACTAGAACTTCATGCCACTTTTATAGATCTCCGTAAAGCGTTTGACTCCGTACCACTGCAGAGACTATGGACAACATTGGAAAACGCAGGTATAAATGCAGTATACATAAATGCCGTGAAAAAGCTATATCAAGATAACCAAGCTTATATTAAGGTTGGAAACCAAATTTCCAAGGGTTTCACCCAAACAAAGGGTGTCAAACAGGGCTCTTGCCTCTCTCCAACCCTATTTAAAATATATCTTGGTAATGCTTTAAAACATTGGATGAGAAAATGCAGCCCAATGGGCATATGGGTAAATGACACTCCTATATATACAATCCTCTTCGCAGACGACCAGGTAGTTCTTGCCGAGGACCTACAAGATATGACGTACATGATAAACAAACTAATAGACGAATTCAAAAAATGGGGATTAGAGGTTAATACCGAAAAGACACAATACATGAATATAGGAGGCATCGGTCAAGACATGGAAACAGAAATCGGATTAATTAAAAACGTTGATCAGTACGAATATCTCGGAGTTACTCTAAGCGAAGACGGGAGAGACGACAAAGATATAAAAAGAAAAATAGGAAAATAAAAAAACATGATAAAAACACTACATCCGATCCTGTGGAATAAAACTTTAACTAAGAAAACAAAGAAAAATATATATATCAGGCTATGATTCAGCCGGTGCTGACGTATGGGTCAGAAGTGTGGGTCTTTAACAATAATATGTCACAAAAACTTCTCTCAACGGAAATGATGTACTGGAGAAGATGTTCCGGGTTAACTTTGTTTGACCACATAAGAAATGAAAACATAAGAGAGAGAATGAAAGTAAAGAACACAATAATGGATACGATAGCCGAAAAACAATTAAAATGGTATGGACACCTAAGACGGATGAACGAAGAAAGGATACCACGAAAGGTTTGGAACTGGAGACCTACACAGAGAAATAAAAGGGGAAGGCCAAGAAAGAAATGGATATCCAATATTCATATAGAAATGGAAAATAGAGGTCTTGAAGAAGGAGACTGGGCCGATAAGAAATTTTGGCGATTGGGATGCGAGAAGCGACAAAATTAAAGTTGCAAACACCAGTCATTTAGTATAACATCAGGACTTAGACAAGGAGACCCCTTATCACTTTGCTATTCAATTTAGCCTTGGAATATGCAATAAGTAAAATATCCTCTGAACTGACAGAGGGATTTGCGGATCAAGGATCAAAACTACTGTTAGCCTTTGATGATGATCTCGATGCAGTCATTCATTTTACAAAAGACGCGAGAGTTTTCACAATTTGATGAAGAAACAGAGGGGAAAAGCAGCAGGATCAGATAATATTAATCCAGAAATAATAAACTACATGCCAGAAGCTGGGGTAACACAATTGCATAAAATTATAAATTATCCTAGAAGACAATGGTATTCCTACACACTTGTGAACATTTTCTCAATATAAAAGAAATGAGAAAAAAGAAATGCTTAAATTACAAAGCTATATCTATTTTCAGCGTACTATACAAAATATACGGGATATTTTTGGAAAAAACTTTAAAAAATAATGTTGAAAAACACTAGATGATAATTATTCAATGTGGTTTCAGACACGGAAGGGTTTTAACAGGTTTAATATATACAGTACGACCACTTGCATAGAAAGCACTATATATTTTTATTAGAATGATAGGCTGTATTTCGGTTGTGTCGATCTGAATGACAAGACAAATTGTACAAGAAATGTGATCAGAATGATCACATTTCTTGAAATTAGAAAAGGAGGGGTACTAAGTACTGTCTTGTTTGTTCCATTAATGGATGAAATAGCCAAAAACCACGAAGAAGTGTCAAACACGAAAGAGTTGGAGTGAGAAAATTACAACAAATATTCATATCAGAACTAATCTATGCTGATGATTTAGTTATTGTGGCAAACAGCCAAAAAGCCCTACAACAAAGTTTGCAAATTTGGAACTAGACAAAACAGATTATTGAAGTTTCCAAGAAAACTGAAGTATATTTCAGATATTTTGAAATTATTCCAAAAGGGATTAAATATATAATATAGAATACTAAGAATTTTTGATCTGCAAGATGCGGAAAAGAGTAGCAGAAGAAGACTGAAAAAGACCAGAAAAGACGCTTAGGCAACACGTGTTAATAAAGAGGATTTATAATAATCCAAAAGTTCAAAAAAGCATTGAATTATTAAAGAAGTATTAGAATAAGTGTATCTTTCAAAAAAAGAAACTCTGTAGATGAACAATGTCGAATTTTTCGTGAAAGTTGTTTTGTTGGTTAGTATCGAAGCTTATTAAGAACAATTCTTTTTACTTATTAGTTAAGAACAATTATATAGTTAAGAACAATTCTTCTTTCTTATTTCAGAGAGCAAAATCCCAAGGCGCTAAAGTATTGAAAGATATTTGGGAGGAGACCGATTTTGAAGGAATTGTTCGTTGTGCTACTATCCAAACTGTAAGTTGATTTTATATGTAATTAAACTTGATTGTGTTTTAGAAATAGTACAAAATATGTAAAATTTAAAAATTACAAATAATATTTACATATTTACACCTAAGTATAGTAGTTAACTTAAAATCGTTCTGATCTTATTTATATTACCATTAAACAAATTTGGGAATCCTTCAAAAATTTACAACTTAGCCCTTATTATTTGGTATTTAGGACATAGACTATAGTTTATCTTGTTACACTTTAATACCAATATTGTTACTGGTATGTTATATAAAGTTCGAATTTATTGTCTTCTCCGCACTCCAATATTCACTGCACGTTGTTAGTACTTTTCTTTCTGAACATCCTTAACATGTTTTCATTACTTTTTGTTAGAGTCCAGGTCTCTGACCCATATGTTAGGACTGGGCGTATCATTGTTTTCTGGTTTTATTTTTGTATTGTAGGAGGAGATTGAACCCAAAATATCAACTGCTGGCCTTGAAAATACTGCGGTATCGCTGCGGTAATAATATTTTCAGTGTTAATGCTGAAATAAATAATTTTTCAGCGCTCCCAGGTATACAAATTCGTTAACTGCTTCGATGACGTTGTTTTCTATAATAAGTGGTCGTAGGATTTATAGTTGCATGCTTATTTTTATGTGCTTTGTTTTGTTGATATTTATTATTAAACTTATTCTTTTATTGCTACATACTCCTCACTTTCAGCGTTTTCCGCTCTCCCAACCATATTGATATCATGAGCATTGGCAAGGATTCGCACTGATTTATTATATATTGAACCAATGATTGTGATTTCTGACATGCGCATTACTTTTTTCAGAGACAGATTGAACAGTATACAGGAGAGAGAGTCTGAATTCGTACTCTTGATTCAACTTTTTTAAGAGTTAGTTTTGTTAAATTTACTAACTAATTTGTTACTCCTAGTTCTTTCATTGCTTTGAACAGTTTTCTTCTACTCACAAAGTCGTAGGCTGCTTTGTAGGCTATAAACATGCTGCCCTTTTAATTAAACATGCTAAATCTAAGATAGAATACTAAACAAAATATTAAAGTGTAGTTGTAAAAACGACTATCTTAAAAAACCCTAACAGTAGAGCATTTGGGAATAAAACTGTCAAGCTACGGAAAAGTCTAAGAAGACATACAAAAACAAGTGAACATGACAAACAGAGCAGCAGGATGTCTCAACAACACAATGTGGAGAAATAAATACCTAACAACGGAAACGAGAACCAGCATATATAAATCAACAATAAGACCGATAATGACGTACACAGCGGAAACAAGAGCAGATACCGCGACAACACAAAGACTGCTGGAAACAACAGAAATGAAAGTCTTACGAAAAATAACAAACTAAACTCTAAGAGACAGAGTAAGAAATGAGGAAATACGAGCAAGATGTGGTATAGAGGAAATAAACGCGTATACCAAAAGAAAAAAAGTGGAATGGAAAGAATTCATTAAAAAAATTAAAACATCGAAAGAATGACAGAAAATAGAATATTACGAATAGCAAGAGACAAATCGCCAAATGGAAGAAGATCATTGAGACGACCGAGGAAAAGATGGTCAGACAACGTCAATTAAGGCTAAAAACCGAAGTAAAACAGGTAATAAGCCTATTTATAAAATAGGAAAAAGAAAGAAGAAGTAAAGCGTAAATATATCAAAATAAGTAAAGAAGTTTACATACTTGGTAACATTTATAGAGACAGAACTTATTGCTGCTGTGCCAATGTTTGAAGTTGCCTTGATACAAGATCCCTGAGTATACCTGGATAAAAGGAAAGCTCTGCAAAAGTCCCAAAAATGTTTATGATAGTTAAGGGAACTCACACTTCCCATATTTCTCTAAAAAATAGTATGGCACTACGGCTAAATCGATTTGTGTTATATCGATCGAGTAGTATACCGTGAATTGTAAGTTCTATCATTGAACCACATTTTAGTTTGTGACTTCGTAAATACGCATAATTAAATATGGTAATAGATTCGGCATTTATAAAGCTTAATTTTGATATATAATGTTAATATTAATTTGCAGTACGGAGATACAACCCACACTTTAATAGATAAAAGTTTATACCGAGGTCAGTTTCTACCTGGATATTCGCCATGTCAACCAGATCCACTAGGAAAAATGCTGTAAGTATATAACTATGTAGATTCTTAATATTTTTATTTTTTTTTAATTTGCAAATTTACAATCTGCTATTACAAGCTATTGGTAAATGTGAGTATTGCAAATACACGAGAGGAGAAATTATTCAATAATAACACTCCCAACACAATTTGACAAAATAAATTATTGTAGGATTATAATTTGAAACAATTAAAATTAAACTTGAAATAAGTGAATAAAGTCTGTCGGCCAGTGTCTTTTCAATCTTCGTCTGACTTCTGGTTGGAAGTGTAGTTGTCTTGCTTCCTTGTTAGGGTGGGCTGACAGATGTTCTAAATAATTTTTTGTTAGTCTGCTGATTCCGTCTTCAACGAACGGTATACCAGAGCCATCATGCAGTGTTTTGTTACTAACGTACCACGGCGCGTTGAAAATCATTCTGAGTATTTTGGATTGGATTCTCTGAATGATTTTGGTATTAGAAGACTTTGCACAGCCCAATAGTTGCACTCCATATGTCCATATAGGCTTTATTATGCATTTGTACAAGAGAAGTTTATTATCTGCAGATAACTGTGATTTTCGGCTTATTAGCCAATTTATTTGACGTATTTTCATGTTGATCTGGATTTTTTTGCGATGTTTGCTTTCTAAGTGAGCTTTTGATCAAGTGTCATTTCCAGGTATTTGACTTCTCTTTTTACTGGTAGTAATATGTTGTTCAGTCTGATTCTCGGACATATAATGTTCCTGTTAGTAAATGTAATTTAATTAGACTTATTATGGCAAACTTTGATTTTCCGTCTATGCATCCAGTCTTGTAATAGGTTCAGGTGTATTTGAAGGTTTCCTGATGCTACTTGGGGGGTCATCATCGATGAATATTATGGCGGTGTCATCTGCGAACATGGCTACTGTGGTCATATTTATTTTTGGGATATCAGCAGTGTATATGACGAACAGGATGGGACCCAGGACACATCCTTGAGAGACACTGGATTTTATGGGATAGTAATGAGAGGTTTCTGTAAGGAATCTGACTTGAAAGTGACGTTTTGTGAGGTATGATTTTAAGAGTAGATAGTAAGGAGTGAGAAAGGATGACAAGTTTATACAAGAGGCCGTCATGTGACACAAGGTCGAAGGCTTGTTCTATATCGAGGAAGGCAGCAGTGCAAAGTTTTTTCTCTTCGAGGCATACATTAATGTTTTTAACAATCCTATGACATTGTTGTACAGTTAAATGGGCTTCGCGCAAACCAAACTGGTGTGTTGGGATCACTGCATTAATTTCGATGTCTTATGAGATTCTTTGGAGCAGAAGTCTTTCAAAGATTTTTGACATTATTGGAAGTAAGCTAATTGATCTATATGAAGTTGTATTATTTGGTAGTTTATTTGGTTTACTAATCATAATTATTTGTGCGAACTTCCATTTAATCGGGTAGTAGGCTAATCTTATGATACTATTATATATCATTGTTAGTAGGACAATTGCTTTTCTCGGTAATTTTTTTAATATTAGCCCGGCGATCATGTCGAAGCCTGGTGCATTGTAGTTATTGTATCTAGAAACTTGTTCGTTTATGTTATTAGGAGCAAAGCATTTAATTAGTAGCATCATTGGGCATGAAGTGTCTTAGAAATTTTTAACTTAAGAGCCAGGAGGCTCTTCTTTTTTCTGCAACAAGACGTTTTATATCTACGGGTATGTGTCACTTGGTTCTTTGCCATCCTGAGGAGGTGTAGCTATTTCAGCATCTGCATGTATAGTTTGGGTGAGAAGATGATCGATATTATCGATAACGTCTGGTTGCTTTAATTTTATATTTAAATTTAAATTTTCATCTATGTAAGACTTAATACATTCCAATTGGTCTTCGAGGTTGTCAACTTTGGGATATTCGGACGTTTTATAGTTTGCATATATAGTGTGACAATTATGGGAGTATGGTCGGTGGACAGATCCTAGGATGCTTGTATGTTAAAATAGTTTAAGGCCATGCTATGGAGGATAAAGAAGTTGAGTAGATCTGGAATTTTGTTTGGACCTGATGGCTATTCTTAATATAAATATTTTTAACGACATGGTTTTAGCTACGACTTTTTACGTATAAATCTCTTTATACACATAGACATAGACATCGCAAAAAAATATCATCTTATCATTTATTTGACCCAAATTAAACAACACAAAATATAAAAAATAAATAATCAATGAAGTATACTAAAGTGTCAAGAATTATCATTTTTGTGTGTGGTGGGTCTGGATTTGTTTAATTGTAAAGTAAACTCATCATCAACTACCATAATTACTCCATTTCATCACCAATTAGCGCAATTTGTCTATTTTTATAAACATATTTTTAATATATTTATAACCTATAAATAATATATTTTTTATGTATTTATAGTTTGAGTGTAATTAAACATTTTTTTTATTTTTTCTTCATTTTGATATATTTTGAAGTCTTATTTTTCAATCTTATAAAAATTAAAATTATGAGAAAATTGCTTCAGGTTGTGTCGAAATCAAAAAGGTGATTATCTACCCCAAAACCCTTAAAACCATGAAAAACATGTTTTATTGAGCGTGTTGAAGGAGTTTTGCCCTTCCGAAAGCTTTTCGGATTTTTAAAGATGACGCACCATACAGAAAAATCTGAAAAAAATTGCCTGTATTTTTTAATCAACTACAAAAAATAAAAAAAAAACGGATCTGCAGCTCCACCTCCAAAAATAAAGTTATACATTTTTTTCCAAAAAAAAGGGGGATTTTTAGGTTAAGTACACTCAAGTTCAGGACAGACATATAATACAAGATATACTGACTGCTGCAATAAAGTCGCGTTCCCCCAGTAGGGCAAAGAAAACTTACGCAAACCAGTTGTTGCATCTCTGTCTAATGGGTCGGGTTTACCGACCACGTGACCTTATTGGTAATTTAGGTCACGTGGTCAATGAACTTGACAAATTAAAAAGAGGTGCAGGGACTGATTTGCGTCAGTTTTCTCTGTCGCACTGGGGGAACGGCTGTTATTGTAAGGGGCATTGCAGGCTAAAATTGCACTGAGCCTTATTTTTTAATCATACAGAATGTAAACAAATGTAAAAAAAATATAAAAAAATTAATTCTGGAGTGACAGCATTTTGACTATCTTAACGGGTGGTACCCTTTTTTTATGGTATATAATGATATCATTTTGCGTGTTAATGGTTGTATGGTTTGTCATTAATTGTTTTGTATCAATTAATTTTTAGTCCTTTTATCGCATTTTCTGTTATAGCTATAATTATAACTTGCAAGTTGTCAATATTTTCTTCTGTACTTGATTCCATTTAAAAATATATTAACAAACAGAATTCCTAAAGAAAATACGTTTACAACCAGAAAATTTTGAAAATGAAAACGAACGACTGCTCTTATATTTAATCCTGTAGACTACTTGGTTAAACACTTAGTTGATGTTAAATCGGTTAAATATCTTAACTTTAACAATACCAGGTAGTACAACAATTTTGTGGTCAGTCAATTGAAAATACAGCACATCAATGTTTCTGCAATAGTTTAAACAGAAAATATATATTTATTTATTTAAAATATCTATTTTTAGTCCAGCCACAAATTTGGATTTTATCGACCATATCGTAGGAAACCAGGCTGATAAAGAAATGGAATCCGTTGCCAAATGGTATGAAGATGTTCTACAATTCCACAGATTTTGGTCTGTAGATGACAGCCAGATTCACACTGAGTATTCTGCACTAAGATCTATTGTAATGGCAAACTGGGAAGAAAATATAAAGGTAATAATTTGATTTTCAAGCCTTTGTATCTCTGCATTTTTGCAATATATATATATATATATATATATATATATATATATATTAAGCTGTTCGTAATAATAGAATTATTTTACTTCAAAAATACCAAATACAAAACAGAAGAGCAATTAACAAAATAAAAGTATTGTAAATGTAGTTAAAAATAAAAAATAATGTTGATCATAGGTAAAATCAGTAGATTTACTATTTTTTAATTTTAAAGAATTCAATATTCCTTTATGAGTTGCATATTGCTCATAAAACGCAACAAAAATAAAAGAAATCTGACATTTCTCTGATATGAAATAAGAGCATATAATATACGCAGATACTAAAACAATTTATTTAATTATACGAATGAAATAGATTGCTAACTAATCATTTGCAAGAGAAGGATGTAAATGATATTAGGATATTATTATAAAATATTCATCTTGAACCATCCAATACTAAATGCTTCACAGTGGCCTTTTCTTTGCATCTTATTTAAACTTAAGTGTCTTTGTCTAATAGTGTATTATCTAACATGCGTATTTAATTATATCATTTGTATGTAGAGCTCGGCTTGTTTGATCCACTGAATTTAATAATCAGTTTTGTTCCAGCATTTCTTTAATTTCTTTAATTTTGTGCATTAAGTGAACATTGTATTACAATGGGCCATACGCCTAACTATGATCAAACAGAAATATTGAGATGGGAAAGAAATTACAACAAAAGACTAATTTGGTACTTAGAACTTGTTTCTAGAAATGTGTTTAATTAAAACTACACAAAACAAACCTAAACAAAAGAAAAGACATTGAAAATCTTAGTGCTATATGCAGTAATCTTCTTTTAAATAAAAGAATAACAATATAAAAGTTCTTAAGAGTTACTCATATTAAAGGGATTATTCCAAGTTCAAATGAGATAAAATTTATTTTTTTTTTTTGTTTTTTTTTTCTTAATTACTTAGTTATTAAACAAGCAACATAAACTCTGTTGCTTGTTTAATAACTGCAAACGAAACATTTCTACCTATTATATCAAAATTTACAATTAAGGAACTGTCAAACTAACCTAAAATAAATATAAAAAATAGAAGAGACATGTAAACCTTAGTAATAAGTTTTGACAGAACGAAAAAGAAAATCAAATTTAATAATGTCATTATGTTAATTAATTTTGCTAATTTTAAAACATAATCCTTACAAGGGTAAGCCTATTGAAGATATAACAACTTCATTTTTCTAATGTAGTTTTTTATGTTAATTTTTAGTACATTTTGAAAAAGAGTACAATAAACTCGAAAGCTTAACAAACCTAAAAGAGTTTTACTTAAAGGCTAATATTGACTACTAAACCCAAGATATCCGTATATATTACTCACATAGTCACTAAAGCCCTTTCTAAAAAATATATATATTTATATATATATATATATATATATATATATATATAATATATATATATATGTATATATATATATTATATATATATATATATATATATATATATATATATATATATATATATATATATATTCAAAGCATATTTTAATCTCCATTTCTTCTCGGATTGGAACTTAATCGGAATTCCGCAATGACAAGGATGCTTACAGAAATTGTGTCTTAAAATAATTGGTTGGTTAACCCAAATAACATCTTAAACAGTCTTAAAATATATTTCAGAAAGTATGTTCTATTCGTTTAACGGATCTGACAAGAAAGTTTTTTAGTCTTAATTGAATTGGTTTCCATTATCTCTATAATTTGGTTCTGGTTTGAGCAGTTATATCTATATTCATTATCCCCGGTTATATCTGGGCTCATTAATAACCAACAAAGGAGGCTGTACTGAAGAAATAAAGCGGCGGTCAGCAATCGCAAAAAGCGCTATGGCAACATTAACAAAAATTTGGAAAAGGCATGAAATAAATACCGATACAAAAATGAGACTAGTGAGAAGTCTAGTTTTTCCAGTTTTTACTTATGCATCGGAATGCTGGACCCTTACTGACAAAGGCAAAAAGAACATAGATGTATTTGAGATGTACTGCTGGAGACTGTTGAGAATACCATAGGTGGCCCGAAGAACAAATGAATCCATACTGGACTAGCTAAACATAAAGAAAACACTAAGAACACAAATATCAGAACAAATAATAAGCTATTTTGGACATGTGCTTCGAAGAAATGGTCTTGAAAAATTTACTATCCAGGGAAAAGTAGAAGGCAAAAGAAATAGAGGTAGATCTCCCACACGATACACGGACCATATTGTTGCTACCATTGGCGCTCCATTGTCGGAATGTGCTAAAATGGCAGAAGATAGAAAAACGTGGAGGAACATTGGGAAATTAAGCTAATAGCTTCATGATATCACGATACCTGCATCAGGTTAACGACTAAGAAGAAGAATCTATATTCAATTGGACTATTTTGTAATACATTTTTTTTCAATTCAGTGTTCCATAAAATCGAATGATTTTTCTACATGAAATAATAGTACAAAATAATGATATTTGCTAATAATCAGAATTAAAATATGTGATACAACATTAGAACGTGATTAGCATTAAAATGCATATAAATACATGATAACGTCACAATTTACTACAAGTAATAATTTAAAAATTTTATTGTATACGTTGATAGACAAGAATTACTTGATTAGAAAAAATCACAAATTAATACCAATTATTTTTTGTTGTACCTCAATTAAAAAAAAAAAATAAGACGTATTTAATTTTCTTTAATTTTTTTGCATATTGTCCATTTTTAGATGCCAATAAACGAGCCTGCTCCTGGAAAGAAGAAGAGTCAAATTCAAGAATATGTTGAATATTACGGTGGAGCTGGAGTACAACATATTGCTCTTAATACACAAGATATCATAGCCAGTGTAAGTAAAACGATTAAACGCACATTAGTTTTTAACTGATTGTGGGTCATGGTGTCACTTTTTACCTTAGCGACAAAGCTCAGAGAAAAAAACAATAGCAAATAATTTTAAAATACGAATATATTAAACTAGTCATTGAAAATAAAGTTAAATATATTCCGTTGTAATAGCGACAAAGCCACTTTGATCAAACATATTTACATTAAACAATCCTAGTACATAAAAAACCAGTTAAATATTCAAATACGTTAGACATATGTACTGAATATTTTTTATATAGAAATAAACCACAATGAAATGTCAAAAAAATACATTACTTGTTTTGTTTCAATGTTTCGATTTTCAATCAGAAAATTGTTTCTTCTTTTCAGAGTGCCGTCTCCATACGGAGGCTGGCAATCCTAATGACTATTTTTAGTTTTGAACTTGCTGGTATAAAAAAATCAATCAATCTGCACTGCATACAATCAACTAAGAATTCTACCGTTGTTCAACAGATCTTCTTCCTTGAATCTTTCTCTGTATTATGTGTCTCAAATTTTCATATTTTGGTCCCCTTATCACGTGGCCAAGGTATTCCAGTTTTCTTGTTTGTTCGAAAGAATACCTAGATCCTTTCTGAAATGATTTTTTTAATAAATCCGTAAAATAGTTTCGAAACACAATTCAGATTTCTGCTTTAATCTGTGCTTTCTAAAAATTGCAAAGCAAAACAGACGTTGATGAAAGTGTTAAAAGAATATTTCTATTCTATTTGCACTTTTCTATGCACAGATTAAAGCAGAAATCTGAATTGTGTTTCGAAACTATTTACGGATTTATTATCAGATGTCGCTATTGCGTCCATATCGAAGCCATTTTAGTGTTGCTTTTTAAAAGACAGAAAATATTGATTTTCCACGTGAGAACTGTTCTGATGAGACCTATTAGGTCGAAATACGTATCAACAGGTACATAGATGCTGTTTGCGTGAAATCAAATATTTGCTGTCTTTTTCATTTCAGATTTTTTTAATGTTCAAAACACAGTTCCATATAATAATATTGAAAATATATAACATCGAATGGTACGTAGGCTCATTTCTACATTAAGGTGTCTGTACGTTAGGAGTGGCTTTATTCGTATAAATTCTGATCTCGCAATCTCTATTCGCCTGTTTATTTCTGAGGTATGATCATTGGTTTTATTGATGAAAGTACCCAAGTAGTAATATTTTTCTACTTATTATATTACGTTTATTGTCAATATGTGGTATATATTTTGTGGTCTTTTTGTAATTAGCATATATTTTGTTTTATAACGTTTATAGTAATTTCTATCTCAGCACAATTCATACTAAACCTTTAGAGCAGATGTGGTAGTTCTTCTATGTTCGTTTCAATGATCAGTGTTATATGGAAATCGTACTTTGTTAAGTAATCTATCGTTAACGATAACTCTAGCTTTGATATTATGGAGCATGTTTTGGACAATTTCTTCATCATATAAGGTGAACAAAAGGGGCACCAAAACGCATCTTTGTCTAACTTCTCTTCTTCTTCTTAACGTGCCCTATCAAGTCCCCTTGACGTTGGCGATTAACATGGCGAAACTGTCTCTGTCTCGAGCTATTCTAAAGAGTTGCTTAGCTTTCCTTATTCCTGTCCACTCCCTGATATTCTTCAACCAAAAGGCCTGCTTTCTACCAATTCCTCTGCGTCCTTCGGTTTTACCCATCATACTAAGTTTAAGAATATTATATCGGTCTCCTCATACTACGTGTCCAAAATAGGCCATCTTTCTACATTTGATATTATCAAGCTGCTTGCGAGCAGCATTTGCTCTCTCAAGGACTGCCACATTTGTCAGCATAGCATGTCACCTTCTCTACAGATCTTTATTTCTTCTAATTGTTGCTCATTAATTTAAATTATGGCACTTTGGTTCCACTATAACGTTTGGATTATCTTTGTGATTTCACTGTCAATGTGCTTATTTATAGGTGTTGATATTAGTTTTTTTATGTCTTAGTCTATCGAAAACTCTTTCGTAGTCAACAAAGCACAAGTCTAGGTCAACGTTTACATCCCGACATCGCTTAATCAGTATTTTCGTGGCAAATAGTCCCTCTCAAGTACATATTCCGTTTCGTAACCCGAACTGCGTCTCACTAATATCCTCCTCTAACTTTGTATAGATTATCTTATGTATTGTTTCAAGTACAACTTTTAAATATATTTGGAGTTTTTGATAGCATATTTGATTTCATCCATCATGATCTGTCTCTCTAAAGGATTTAACAAACGACATGGTACAGGGAAATATATTGACAACCATATACGTTACCCCGGGTGAGCCAAAGGAAGCGGGATGGTCGAATATTTAACGAAATTTATATCGGTTAAAAAAAACTAAAAAACTTAAACTTAAATAGGAACTCCATTTTATAATATGGCAAGTTTGGAAACACTATTTATCCTGACACCCTAGAAAAATTGTCGTAAGGGTCTAATATCTCGGGTAAAAACCTAAAAGCACGTGTTTATTACCATAGGGTGGGGATCGTGTTTGTTATCATTTGTCAGATTTTTAATTTTTGGCAGCGTATTTCTGTAATTGTTTCTATAATTTTCCTACGGTATCAGGATAAATCTTATTTTTCCAATTATAGTGCCATCTACAGGACAAAATCTAATTGGACAAAAAAAAACGAATATTTAAAAAGGGATACCAGAACTCATACATGAAAAGAGAACACTCACGAATAAAAAACGAATGAGAATGAAAATTTTTGTATACAGGATTATGGTATAATAAGAGAATTGCCTATTGAAAGAGATTAAAAATATAATCAATGAGCTCAAAACTAACAAAAGTCCGGGAGAAAATAAAATAGTGCCGGAAATGCCAAGGAATGGAGGAGAAGAACTGCAAAAAAGGACGCAGAGTCTTCTCAAGCACTAACGCACCCAGGGGGAGGGTGGTTTGGGCGTTAAAAAGGCATATACAGTAAAAAATATACAGAGTGGCCCTAAAGTCTGGAAACGGCCAATTATCCCTAAATTGCTAGTTATAATTGTACAAAATTTAAGCTACACGTATTTTGGGATACGGAGATTCAATATTTAATACTTGCAATGTTGCCAGATTTGCCGTTTCTTCTGTATATTCAGTCATTGTTAGAATATCCTATTCAATACGAGTTCAACCATATGTAACACTTATGATTTTATGTAGTTTGGAAGATTTAAATACATAAAACATAAAGTCTGGCAACGCCTAATTTTCTCAATAAATTTTTTAATACTAACTATTTTTAACGACATTACAATGTAACAACTAATAGATTACAACATTTTTTAACATAATGGTTTCTTTATCAATTGTTCAAAATGTGCTTCATGTGAGTTCACAGTACCCTAATTGATGGTAGAATGCGTCTACCACATTTTTCCATGATTGTCTAGAAATTATTCTAAATTCATCGATATCTCGTTGCATTAGTTCTACAAGACTTGCTAATTTCGTTTTGTAAACTTAATTTTTCAAGTATCCCCAATAGAAATAATCTTTAAGATTGAAATCAGGTGAACGTGGAGGCCATTCAATTCTATCTCGTCTACCAATTCATCGTCCGGAAAATACCTCTTCTAAGTAACGCCAAACAATACACCAAATTTTGTAAAACTATGACAAGCAATTTACTACTACTACTATCAGTTTACAGCGTTCTCCGACGCCTTCCGACTCCTAACCGCCATTCTTCTCTATTTAACCCTAGACCTGCAGGGATTTCTCTTTCCTCTAGTTCTTTTTCAATTTCTTCTCTCCTTGTGATGTCCACGTCAAAATCTGTTTTGGAATCCTGTGATCTGGCATTTTCTCTACATGGCAGTACCATATTAACTGTTTTGTTTGTATGTCATCAACTATTGTATGCTTGACTCCCTTCATTTCTCGTATTCTCTTATTTGGTATCCGATCTCTTCCTGATTTGCCTGCTGCTCTTCTCCAGAAGTCCATTTCTGTTGTTAGTAACAGTTTCTCTGTTTTTTGTTTCATTGGCCAAACTTTACTGCCATATGTGATTACACTTTTAAGTATGGTGTATATGAGTTGTTTGTTCGCTTTAGATATTGTTTGGTCCCACAGAATGCCGTTCATCATGGATATGGCTTTTCACCTCTGTATGTTTCTGTCTTTTATAGCAGCATCGAGTGTTCCATCTTGAGTTATTTTCATACCTAAGTACTTATATTCATCACAGTTTCTAATTTCTACCCCATCGTCTAATATAATGGATTGTTTTGTCCCTCCAATGCACATGGCTTCAGTTTTCTTAATGTTGACTTCGAGACAAGCAATTTACAATTTACGAATTGCGAATTTACTAGATAGATACCGATCAGTTAAACCAAAAAGAGTTATGAATGACAACGAAACTAGATATAATGCAAAGTTTTGTTAAAGATCCACATACAACAGGGTTGCACAAGTACATGATGTAGGTCGTTCTTCAGTCTTACGTGTACTACATAAGAATATTTTTAAACGATACAAAATTAACTTATTGCAGGAATTAGGTGAAGATGACTTTGATCGTAGATTAGTGTTTACTGAGGTAATGATGGATAAAATGGAAAAGGATAAAAATATCGTTAACAGAATATTTTTTTCCGATGAATCAATCTTTATACTGGGTGGAAGTGTAAATCGACACAATTAAAGGTAGTAAAGTGACGTAAATCCACACTGGATGCGTTAAAAATAAACTCAAAGACCACAAAAATTAAAAGTATGGTCAGGTATAATAGTAGGTACTCAGTTAATTGAGCCATTTTTTATGGAAGGAAATTTAACTTCAGATAGTTACGAAACGTTACTTAGAAATAAAATTGTACCTACACTAATAAACTTGTTTGGTGCCAATTTTAATTAGATATGGGCAAGATGGAGCTCCAGCTCATTTTGGGGTAAATGCTCGGGGTTATTTAGAGGAGATATTTGCAATACGATTGATCGGTAGACGAGGTAGAATTGAATGGTCTCCACGTTCACCTCATTTCAATCCTTAATATTATTTTTATTAGGGATACTTGAAAAATTCAGTTTACAAAACTAAACCAAGATGTCTTGCAGAACTAAGGCAACGAAAAATCAATGAATCTCGAATAAATTCTAGACAATCGTAGAAAAATGTGGTAGACGCATTCCACCATCGATTAGGCTACTGTCAACTCACAAACGGAGCACATTTTGAACACTCGATAAAGTAACCATTTTGTTACAAAATGTTTGTTATTAAAAAATAGTTGGTGTTAAAAAAATTATTGAGACAATTAGGCGTTGCCAGACTTGTGTTTTATGTATTTAGGATCTTATAAACTACACAAAATCATAAGTGTTACATATAGTTGAACTCGTATTGAAAAAACACATAATAGGTTTATTAAAATACTAGATCTGTTTATAGAACTTAAAAGTATAAAAATAGATATTTTAGGTCGTTGTATAAAAAATTCAAAAATTACTTATAATTAGATTATAAATTTTATTATAAATACAGTTATTTTTATAACAGTTTAATTCCTATTATGATTACAACATTTAATTTGCCTCTATACTCTTTTAGGTTAAGAATTTGAAAGCCCGCGGTGTTGAGTTTATGGAAATCCCCGACTCTTACTACACAATTTTGAGAGAACAACTTAAGTCTAGTAGTGTTAAAATTGCTGAAGACCTCGATATACTACAAAAACTTAAAATTTTGATTGACTTTGATGAGAATGGATATTTGCTACAGATATTCACGAAATGTCTTGAAGACAGACCAACCGTTTTTTTGGAAATTATTCAGAGAAGAAACCATAACGTAAGTTTGGAATCCCCTAAATTTGATATTTAATAATTAGACTTTGGCAAATATGCAAAATGCATATTAAGTGCATATTTGCATATTTTGGATAAATTGTATAAGTCCATATGCGTTTATTAAAAGTGCATATTTTCAGGTATAACACAAATACCTCTTATTGGCATTGGAATATTATGACAATATGAACAGTAAAACGCGATTATTAAACGCCGGCATTAAATAAAATCATAAATCATAAATCAATATGGTTTTTCCCAAAAGCTTAACAAATAAGGAATTACCAGAATTTGTATTAGCAAAAGCCAAAATACAATTGAATCGGTCATTTTAAAAACCACTTATATCCAGTAGTAGTGCTTTTGAGAAAAATGAGAAAAACTGTTTTAACGCAATATTTTGTTTAAGAGGCGAATTATGGTAGCTTGGTACTAATGTGCATAATATATGCAATGTTTTCTATCATATGTTACAGATTTTGACATAATACTTTTTTCATAAAACACCATTAAAGTCGATGGATATATGTGGTTTTTAAAATGACTGCTATTTTTCGAAAATTTTCTAAAATAAAACTACGTTTTCGCAATGTCAACTTAATAATATATTTTACATATTAAACTTTGAATAGAACAGTAGAAAGAAATTGTCTTAAAAAGTAATGTATACAAAAAATAATAAGTTTACTCTAATCAGCTTTGTACTCTACAGCTGTTATAGGCCAGTCAAAAATTTCGGAATAAAACTCTTTACAGTCTTCTACTTCTTCATTTTCTACGTAAGACTTAAACTTGCGTAAATTTATCATTTTCTTGTCTTTAATACAAATTTTTTGGTCAGGGTAAGCTTTCTCTACAGGAAAACCATAAACAGTATCTGTTATTAAAAGTTTAAACGAATTTTGTGTAAAACCATCTATAAAGTCACGTGCGATGACATAATATCTTTTGTTGTATTAGAGTAAGAAAAGTGATTGAACGATGCAATGGTGAATGCTTGCTTTTGATCTTTTGGTACATCTCTGCTAGAATTTTCCACAGATAAGCACGTTTTTTATAATATTTAGGCCACCATCGTTTAAAATCCTTTATGAGGCTTTTATTTTCAATCAAAAAAACGGTAAAATTATTTTTCTGACTCGATGACAATACTAGTTCCAGATACTGAAATTGTTTCGAAATTGTTTTGTAAATTTGGTCAAATTTGTTTAATTTTCGCTTAATAATAGCAAAATTGCGGTCACATGGCATATATAAATGTCCACGAACAGGAAAGTATTGATCTACGGTGTGAAATATACCAAGTTGAACAAAAGCAGAACACATTCTTACCGTAGTGTGGTTTTTGTTTTGACCCGGACATTCATCCATGAAAATATGAACATGTTTTTCCTCTGCAGATGGAATTTTCTGTTTCATAATGAAATCAACAATAAAAGAATAAACCTCATTAGGACATTTCCTTCCTATCCCTTCATGATATAGGTACAAGAATAATTTTCCAGTTATCATAATATCATGTATATGAAATACGTTGATAGTTAATAGCTACACGTTTTGCAGTATCAATGAGGGTTTTTAATTTGAGTTTTAAGTCTACATATTCACATTTACAGCATGCATCCACTTGTGGCCTCCTAAATAAAAAATTATAATTCTACTTGAACACTTTTTAGTAAACATTATATTTAACTGTCAAGTCAGAATGTAGCGTCACAAACATTTCATGGATGATTTTCACATATATTTTTTCATTTAAATATTCGTATAATGCCCTTTTTTCTGGGAAAAGACTCAATTTGTTCTCGAATTTTTATAATAGTAGAAACAGTTATCTGTTATCCCGTGTAATTTCGCAAAAGCTTCTTTACACACATATTTTCTGCTAGAAGAAAACAATATTGAATATGTATATGAGAAGCAGTGAGGTTTTCTGTTTACATTTTCTCCCTGTACTGGACGCCTCCGAATAACAGTTCTAGGTGTAATAAGATTTTGAAAATACGTATCTTGTTCATCTTTTGTGGTAAATCCCCTAAATTTTATATACACTTCTAACTTTACTTTATCTGAGAGTTGAGCAATACACTTCTTCCTGCATCTAAAAGTAACCTTTTATAATCGACTGTTTGAGGTTGAGTTTGAGATAAGAAATACTTATTTGCAACTTTTGCCTTGTTCAATTTTGGGAACCCTATTTCCTTTATAGTTTATATACTCTATACCTTGCAGACGAGCTTTTTTAACTATTTCACACTTGAAGGTAACATTTTTTATACCCTTTGTACGTCTTTCTTTTGATTCACGTACCTCGGTGTCCATTTTTACAGAATTATTGTTACTTTTAAATCGTAATTCAACATTACGATGTACCATAGTTTATGCAGGTAAAACATTTCCTGTACAGGTAAGGCTGGCAACTGTACATTTTGCATAAAGTCAAAACTAATGTTTTAGTTAAAACAATAAGTTAAGTTAAGAAAGATAATGTATTTTCTATTATTGCCCATTTCTGGAACACATTTTATTTTAGAGTAAATTTTTTTAGCTATTCGTTTATGTATAACAATATCAGCTCCAGATGATAACTTTTCATTTTGGTTAAGAGAAGATTTCATTTTTACAGAGAGTTCCTCGCAGACTGGACAAACCTCAACTTAAGGCCTACCGAATTTAAAATCACAGTTTTCCTTATAGCACTTTAAACAGAACTCAACTGTCTTTGATAAATAATGAGATGTTTTTTTCTGGTATAATTCAATATGATCTTGGATTTTTTTAACAATATCATTCGATTTTTGGGGGTATTTTCATGAAACCCTCTTTTATCGTATGGAAGCTCGCCTTAACTTAATAAGTTAGTAAGATGTTGTAATGCTTTATTACTTATTGAATGTAAAATTAAAAATTTCTCTTTACAAAGTTTCACTTTTGTGTTGTTTCGTAATGAAAAATACTTAAAAGATGATTGTATTTCCTTAGGAATCTTCATTTTTAGGCCTACGTCTAGTCACATCGGATCTGTTAATAAGGCCATCAAAAAAGTGTCTGACTCATTCTTAGGTTGACCACTGTATACAAATTTAATAATGCATACCTGTTTTCTCTTTAGGGATAACTAAATCTGCACATTTTTTCTTACATAAACACTCAGGCCAGTCTTCCTTTCTTTCAGGGATATTGTCATTATCCCTCCAGATACTGACAGAGAATGTAGCGTAGAAGTAATTTTAAACTGTTTGTCCTCGTTTTAGTGTAGTGTTTTGTACAATTTATGTTATTTTTAATGTTTTCACATTCTACGCTTGCCGGATAGTTCAGATTTTGACGAAATGCCCCTGAAGATGCTATTTTAAGCGAAAGTACTTGGGCTAGATTTAATTAACTTGTGCTCGATAATAGCCTTATTTTCAAAGTTCATTTATTCGAGCATTCAACCTCATTTCATCTATTAAATAATTATCTAATTATTAGAACATACTAAACTCACTTTACACAACATACAATACAAAACATATCCTTAAAAGCTGATGTAATAACAAACACTCTAATTACTATTTAACTGGGAATAAGCCACAATTAAAGATAAAAATACGTTCATTGACGTTTCAATTTCCACTTCAGAAATCGTTCTCAAAATACAAACAGTAAATTATTATTATTAATAAATACTGTTTGTATTTTGAGGACGATTTCCGAAGTGAAAATTGAAACGTCAATAAACGTATTTTTATCTTTAATTGTGGCTTATTCCCAGTTAAATAGTAATTAATTTACAATGCCACAAGAAAATAGCTTCAGAACAATAACAAACACTCTGTCATCATATGCTTTTGGAGAGTAGTTAATATGGTCAAGTGACAAATGAAAAGTTAAAAAATAAGAGTAGAAAATAGAAAACAAAAAAGAATCAAAATATATTGGAATATTATCCTTTTAGATGTCAATGGTGAAAATAATTTCTTTGAGGTTAAAAGGGATAACATTCTAGGAATGCTATCCTTTTAGATTTCACTTTAGGAAAACTAGCTTAATATGAGCTATTTAAAGGGATGCAATGTTATCTGTCTTTGACTAAGTCTGTAGAGCTTAGTAAAGTGAACAAAACTGCTATCTTAAATAAATTTGGCAAAAAATAAAATGTTATCTCACCTATTCAATTTACTATGCCTCTTCATTTCTACGGTACAAAGCAAATTAAATACTGAAATTATTATAACCAATATTAGGGTTCTGTCTGGTCTATCTCGTGTTTGTAACAGAAAGACCAGTATTTGTAGTAGTTTGTCTTTTATTCTATTTAAAAAAATTGTTTAATTCTTCAAAAAGCAACTTTTTACTAAAATCTTAATATTTTTAGGGATTTGGTGCAGGAAATTTCAAATCTCTTTTCGAAGCAATAGAATTGGAACAAGCCAAAAGAGGAAATCTATAAACAAATGTTTTTAACAACAAATTGTTTAGAGGATGTAATATAATACATTCTAAGATAAATAATTAAAAATTATGAGTTATATGACGATGCATTTCTTAGTACTTTTTATTATTTTTATGATACATATTTTTATTCAGTAATTAAGAAGGGAACATATTTAGACTGAGACGCAGCTGTGCTTATATAAGATTATTAGTTATGTTAAAGATTTGTATACGTAAGAAGATACTTTATTGTATAGGATATAATTTTAAATAAATACTCTAAAAACGACTTGTTTGAATTTCAACCCCCCTCTCGCGAATTTTAATGAGATTGTGTATAAACTAGTTCTTGTATAAAAAAAATAGGAAAATGAAGTTGCCTCCATCTATCTATTATAAGTCGGTTAATTCAAACAAATACCACCTTTAGTCCAGACAAATTAAGATTTTTTTTACCGCCAAAAATCAATGTTTAATCAAATAATTCTTCTTCTTCATGTACCATGTCCTATCAGCACGTTGGTTACCATCATAGCTATCTTAATTGTATTCACTGCCACCCTAAATGGCATACTTGTACCAACACCATACCCATCTCGCAAGTTCTTCTACCATAAGGTTCTTCTTCGTCCTGGACTACGTTCGTCTGCTATTTTTCCTTGCATGATATTTTGTAGCAACCTATATTTGGGACCTCTTATTACATGTCCGAAATACTCCAGCTTTCTCTGCTTGACGCTTTTTATGATCTCAGTAGTCTTGCTAAGACGTTCTAGTATTGTGGAGTTTCGAATCTTCTCCACCCAGGAAACTTTTAAAATTCTTCTATAGCACCACATTTCGAAAGCCTCAAGGCGATTAAGATCGATTTTATTCACAGTCCAGGACCCGACAGCATAAAGTAAGACCGAAAACACGTAGCAGCGAAGTAGGTGGATCCTTAATGCCAATTTTAGGTCTCTGTTACCTAACACCTTGGACATCCTTCTAAAAGCAGCTCTAGCCTGCTCTATCCTCGATCTAATTTCGCCGTGACTTTCTGCGTTACAATTTAATTGCTGTTCAAGGTAAACGATTATATCAACTTGCTCAAGTTTATTATTATTTACATAATATAGACGGTTTTATATGCAGTTGTTGACTTATTACGAATATTTTGGTTTTCCTTATATTAAGATCCAGACCTGCCTCCCTACAACTCACAACGTCACTATCAAGTACTGTTTGCAGATCTTCTTGGGTAGAAGCATGGTAGTGGTTTATAATTAATGCTAGAAGCTAGGAGTACTGTGTCGTCCGCATATCGCAAATTATTGATGACTTCGCCGTTCACAACCAAATAATGCTTCAAATAATACTATAATGTACAAAAAATTTATTTCGCTTCCGCTAATGTACTTGCTTTTTTATCCTTAATTTAAAAGAAGAAAAACAGTTTAATTTCTCTTAATAATTTTAACTGTACTAATATGCAAGTGTTTACTTTAAGTTCTACAATGACTAATTTACACTGCATAATGCAACTGTTATGTTAATGCGACTAAAATATAACATTAAAAAAGAATTTAACAATAGAATAAAAAACATCGGAGAACAACTAAAAGGTCCATAAGAACTATGGAGTAAATTTAAAAACCAAGTTAATGAAATCTCCACAAACAATTATTGTAGAAAAAACTTAATTAAGAATGACAGACAACATCTTGATATTAATTGAACAACGTCGACTAATAAAATTTAATGTAACAGAATATAGACACCTATATACAGAGAAGAATAAAAAGGGAGATCAAATTAGCTAAAGAAAAATGGATGAAAGAAAGGTGCGACGAAATGGAGGATGTGCACAAAAAAACTAAAAGAAATGAGTAACATATTTAAAAAACGAGTTTCCTCTGTACTCGTTGACTATAATAACAAAATTATTGTAAATGAGCACGAACTAAGAAAAGAATAGCAGCTGTATATACCAAAGTTGTTTGAAGATGACAGGAATAATATTGTCGATTTCTACCAAAACTGTACTGACGGCCCAGAAATTATGAAATGTGAGGTAGAACACGCTATAAATAATGCTAAAATTAGAAAAGCTTGTGGTCCAGATGATACACCAACTGAGTTGCTGAAACTAATAGACAATGACAACATAAAAGTAGTAGTAAGACTTTTAATTCAATATGTAACACCAGAGTGATTCCCGCAGATTGGCTTAAATCCATCTTTGTCGCAATACCTAAAAAACAAAATGCGAAAAAATGCTCAGAATATTGATTAATTAGCCTAATGAGCCACACTCTGAAAATTTTCCTCAGAATACTTCACAACAGAATTAGACGCAAATGCCAAGATCTTGAAGATACCCAATTTGGTTTTAGAAATGCTATGGGAACTAGGGAGGCACTTTTTGCGCTTAAAATCCTATTACAAAAATGCCGTGACCAAAGAAAAGATGTATTTGCGTGTTTCGTGGACTGGATAAAGTACAGCATGTAAAATTAAGGCAAATACTGAAAAATTTTAAAATGCTACAAATATTTATATTATATATATATATATATATATATATATATATGTATATGTGTAATTTTAATATACTATAGATAACTACACCGATGAAATCTCTATACAATGAGGAGTCAGACAAGGTTGCATTTTTCGCCAACATTGTTCAATGTTTACTCGGACCAGTTATTTAAAAAGACACTTGAGAGACAATCATATGGAATAAAAATCAACGGGGAACTACTCAATATGATTAGATGTGCAGACGATACAGTAATTCTATCAGATATTATTGAAGGTCTTCAAATTCTGCTTGATCGTATTGGCGAGGTAGGAGAGGAAATGGACAATAAAATAAACTCAAACAAAACCAAATTTTTAGTGTTTAGTCGTGACCCACATCCCGATGCAAAGCTTCAATTAAACGTAGTCCAAGCTGAGAAAGTTCACAAAATGACATTTTTTGGAACTGTGATAACGGACCAACTAGATCCTATAGAATCCCATAGAAATAAAATGTAGAATAGCAATGACTAAAACTACTTTTCTGAAAATGAAGTCATTTCTTTGCAATAACCATCTCAATTTAGAATTAAGGCAAAGAATGGTTAAATGCTATGTTTGGTCCGTACTTTTGTATAGTGCAGAAGTGTGGACGCTTAAACTATCGATCATGAACAAAATTGAAGCATTGGAAATGTGGGTTCATAGACGAATGCAAGGTACCTTGGACAGCAAGGGAAATTATTAGAGAAGTAATAAGGAGCGTCAACAAAGATAGAGAACTGCTAAGACTGTTAAACATCTAAAAATGTCTTATCTGGACATATAGTAAGGGGAAGTCGATATAAAATATTACAACCAATCCTTCAAGGCAAAATAGAGGACCGTAGAGGTGTAGGAAGAAACCAAGTTTCTTGGTTAAAAAACATTCGTGAGTGGACTCAGATACAAAATGCAGGACAATTATTCCATGTTGCAGAAGATCGAGAAGCTTTTGCAATGGTGGTCGCCAACGTCGGATAATTCTGATATGGCACGTGAAGAAGAAGAATGCAACTCTTAAAATACCAGTACGTGCTTATCTTTAAAAGACACTGGACTTTTTTCGACAAATTTTTCGTTTAGTTGTCATCTTTGCAAAAAGGTTGTTTATACATGTGCATTACTTTAATTTTGAGTTGTGTTGTGTGTGACAATCATTTAAGTAAAATAAAAACAATGACACTGAGACTGAAACTGTACAAAAGAGTTCTTGCGACTTCCAAGCAAAAGGATTGTTTTGAATGAGCAATCCAAAAAAATGTGTATGAACGTTTTCAAAAATCTTTAAAATGATTTTGAAAATAGTTGCCAACTCAATATCATAAGAAAAGCGGCCTTTTTAATAGGAATTCCCTATTCTACTATGAAGAGTTGTGTTAAAAAGAGAAATACACGATCGTATGCTGGAAAACCTAAACATCTTAATATCGTGACTGCCTTGTAATTAGTTCTTTTTAAATACCTTCAGAACGCTTCTACTTAGAAAAATGAAAACTAGTACGATTATTTATCCTTAAAAGGTAGCGGCATATTATCATACACGTATAGTTTCCGGAACGTAGCATTTCCAGTCTAGCAATCGGACTGTACGTTCACATTTTCATACACAGAACGTTTGAGTTTGTTTCGGTAAATATATGATCTCGCTTTTCGCGACAAAAAATATGTGTAATTGCTCTTCTACTTAACGATGAAGAAAGAAAAACTATAGTAAAAAGAAGGTTTGAAGTACATCCAATGTTTAGAGAAAGGAAAAAGAAAGGTGAATACTGGACTTTGTACAAATAATTAATTGATGACGATGAAAAATATTATGGATATTTTAGAATGAATAGGATTTAGTTTGAATATATTTTAAAGTTAATTGCACCTTTAGTTAAAAAAAAAAACAAAATACTACATTTTACGAAGCCATACATATCAAACCAAAGAGTATTTTAAAAAAAGAAGAGGTATCACTTTCGTGCAAAAGTCCTAATTGTTTATCACTTCCATGATTAATTGTCACAAAGCAATGAAAACACATGCATAAATGACAAAATATTCTCGAAAATTATTTTTTAAATGTTCTATATCAAAGTCAAACAAATAACTAAATAAACAACGAGAAGAAAACGACGAACACCTAATTCACATTATCCGTACCAACATGTTTCGACTCGTTCCGTAGTCGTCGGCATCCGTAAAATATTGTATTCGAATATACTGAACGGAAACGTTAGGTGTCTGATACGATACGTTCAGGACAGTGTAAATTGTTCATATTTAAAATCATTTAAATTATATTTATCGAAAACTAAAAGCTACAGGCTGGAAACGCAACGTGCGTGATAATATGCCACGACCTTTAGAGTTGAATCTATTTCATAAATTGTTAATTTCTAGAACCAATGATAGGCGTCCGTTTTGGATAGAACAACGGCTATTTTAATGCATAACTTTTTTGTCTTTATCTTTTAAGCATTTATAATACTATATTATTAAATTTTTATGTATTTTAGTCCTAAAAGGCACTTTTACTCTAAGTCTATAGGATACACTGTTTTCCAGAAAAAATCGATTTGAAAGTTTTTCGTTTTTTTGTCATGGAAGTCAAATTAATATTTTTTGACCTATCAACAGAAGTATAACCTACGTTTTTACACTTACACTTACACTTTAATAGTAATGTACAAGACCTTCTTGGCAATGACTATGAAGACCATTGTAAGAGGCGGCCCAGTTGTTTGCCCAT